AATAAGCTTCGTATGGTATTTTGATGAAGCAACCCTCTGCCAGCCCGTCTGGTTGATTGATGTCAGCAGTTATTTCTGATTGATCTAAGGCGTCTATCTTTGTATGTGTTATGTACAATTTCCTCCCCCCTGCTGCTGCAGATCATCATTCTCTGGAACAGCGAGAAGCCGCCACCCAGTCGGAGCAAGTGGCCTCCCATGCCCGTCCCCCTCACTGTGACAGACGGCAGGAGGAAGGTGAGGCCCAACGCCACTCACAACTCACACTGACGTCTGAGTGACAGCATGACAAACTGTCGCTCAGTTTGTTTATGTGTCTCGCTTTCTTCCTCACCATATCTCTCTTACTCTTTTCCACTGGTCCCTCTCCTTGATGCCTGTTTCTCTCCGTCTCTTCTTCCTGCCCATGTATATGTGACATGTCCACCGATCCGTGTGGCGTTTGATTTCATAAATGTCACTTATTCTCAACGTTTCTTCTCAGTCTCCCTCTCACTATCACTGTCTCCACCCCCTCCCAAGGTGAAATCTGTAGTGATTCTCACTCATCTCAGTCACTGAACATGATTTACTGTCACATGATCATCTCTCACTCATTCTCATCATCTCTCAAAGCACATGGCAGACAACACACAGCCTCCAGTACCAGAACTAAGATTTATTACTGTTTTCCTCTTTCAGACTACCAGTCGGTTCCTACCTCACGTTGCCATAGAGACAGAAGCAGTGCTGAGTCTGGACGAGGATACGGTCCTGCTGACCAGTGAGGTATGCGTCACTGTGTTTAGTAATAAATATACAGCAGACCTGCGCATACACACACATAAAAAAAAAAAAAAATCAATACTCCTGAAAAAGTCTAAGTGTCTCATGTCTGCACTTGTAGGTGAACTTTGCCTTCTTGGTGTGGCGGAGCTTCCCTGAGCGGATTGTGGGCTACCCTCCCAGGAGCCACTTCTGGGATCCCCTAAAGCGCGCCTGGGGCTACACCTCTAAATGGACCAACGACTACTCCATCGTCCTGACTGGAGCTGCCTTCTACCACAGGTACACCAACACTGTTGAGGTCATTTCCACCCTTTCAGAGCTTTCCTAATGTGCACAGTTAACAAACAGTGGACTGTAAGGTTTAATAATATGCTTTCATTATTTACTTATAACAAGCATGTACTCATATACTGTGCACATACCTAAATTTAGACATACCAGCTCAACACTGATTAAGCATTGAAGATCAAAACAGATTGCTTTTCAGAGAGCTTTGCAGGGCGGGTAATGACATGAATATCAACCTGAGAAGCAATATGGGATCAGAAATAAATAGGATCAAGGATAATTATGTGAGAGAAAAAGAAGAGGGTGAATTACTTCAAGCTGTTCCACAGAGAAGGTGCTTTAAAAGCTGTGACATTTCAAGACAATGTGGTCGTTTTTGTCAGCAGTTTCAATGAAAACACATTTCATGCATGCTAATTTGAATCCTCACAGCTCATTGGTCAGGCCCAATGATATTTTTAAGACTCATCAGCGTTACCTCAAACACCCCCTTTCTCACCACTTAAACAGAGAAATAACAAGTAGTCAAGTGAGTTAAAATGTACCTTTCTCATTCTGGGAACCTTAATTTGGTCTTTTACACGCAAAATTAGTGAAGTCATGTGACAGCATACCAAATGGCTTTTCCAGTATAGGACTGCTTTGCAAAAAAAAAAAAAAAAAAAAAAAAAAGTAATGCAAAATTACCAGCTGAATAGAAAGCATTGCACTAAAATTTCCCAAGTCTTAAAAACTGAAGGAATAGAAAACATATGCATTGTACCACAGGGGTTTGGTTTGTTGTGCACTATAAATATCAAATCCCACTGGCAGTGAAATGGTTAAATTGTCCCAGATACATATCATCAACATACAGCACACCATCTACTCCTTCCTGGAGACGTTTCCATGCCTGTTACCATAAAGGTGCTGGCTGCCTGACCCCTCCACCTGTGATGAATTATGTAGAGATTCCATTTTATATATATATATTTTAGGCTTTTTAGCAGATGTGCTTGTCTGAAGTGATTTATTCTACTGTCAGTGCAAGTGCAGGAACCTTAATTTGTAATAAAATACAAATAATAGTGAACATCAGGTTTGCACACTGGCAACAGATGTGACAAAATAATCCTGCAAGAGAAATAATTGCATAATGTATCATGGAGAGAAAATGGGTGGCAAGGTGAGAAAACAGAAGCTTATGAACTTGTCAAACCCTATATTATTATTTTTAAACACATTTCAGTAATTTATCTTTGAGTGTATTTACATAAGGATGAATTTACAAGGCATGTGGTTGTCAGCTGAAATGTCCAGTGATCCTGTAATTGATTTTTAAATTGGTGCCAAGAAGCCATTTCCGAACTAAATGTGACTGATAACGTATATTGATTTTAGACGCCACCGCTCAACCTCTGGAAAAGTTTATCAGTGTTAAAGGAGGTAGAACATGGGCACTATAATAGACAATAGGTTAACCTTTGACAGTAATAACATGATTTTTTTTTAAAAGCATCTTTTGTGTGGGTTTTCTTCTCTTGCTGTTAAAACAGGAAAATGCACTAAAAAGGCTGGTAAATGTCTGCTGCAAAAATCAATGATTCTCTATTCAACAGATAAGTGTTTGTCTGTCGGGCTGGCAGCAAAATTTATATTTTACCCATAATTTCATTTTTATTTTTGACATCAGCAGCTGTGGTAAATTGAACCTGTGATTTTTGTCCTGGTTATAGAAATTGATTTCTGATCAGTACTCCTTTTATATCTGGAGTATCGTAACCCGTTTGCTCTCATTAAGAATATCCAGAATACAAATGTCACTTCCACCTGTCCCACAGGTACTACCACTACCTGTTCTCCCACTACCTGCCCCAGTCTCTGCGGACTCTGGTGGATCGCACCTCCAACTGTGAGGACATCCTGATGAACTTCCTGGTCTCTGCTGTGACTCACCTGCCACCAATCAAAGTGGCTCAGAGGAAGCAGTACAAAGAGTTGCCCAGTCCACAGGTAGGCGGCCATTTGTCTTATTCAATTTATTCTGAGGATGCTGTTTACTCAGATGCCAGGACAGGACCGGATGATTAATTAGGGTGTCTTGTTTTTTTCCTCCCAGGGTACGAAGAGCGTCCCCTGGGCCAACCCGGAGCACTTCAACCAGCGGCAGGAGTGTGTCAACACCTTCGCCAGCTGGTTTGGCTACATGCCTCTAGTTCACTCTCAATTCCGCTTGGACCCTGTGCTCTTCAAAGATCAAGTGTCCGTCCTCCGGAAGAAGTACAAAGACCTGGAGAGGGCATGAACTTGACAGCCAGACTGGGGAAACTGGCAGGTCTGGTCTAGTGGCCTTTTGGACAGACAATTGGACCAATCACTGGTGGACAGCCGACAACTGTCTGGGATGTGGACAAAGTCAGTTTGCATCATGGACAAAGTACAATCATCAGACAGACCCTGGTGGACTGTTCTGGACTATATACATATAAATATGAAGAGGAAAGTTTGAAGGGAGCTTCAAGTGGTTCTCCCGCCTCCACGAGTCTGGCAGGACAACGAAGGAGGGAAAATCAGGGGCCTTGAAAGAGTCCCTGTAATTGGGCCTCTCACTGAGAAAGGACAATCTCTATTGGACAGCAAATAAAGGAACACTTCTGATGTCAGTGCTATTGTCGTGAGAATAAGACGGGAATAGCTATCTCATGCCAGAAGCACCCAAGGGACTGGTATTGGTGCCATGCACTCCGGCTGTCAATGTGTCTCAACGTTACCGTGCAGGGACTGTTGCCAAGGAAACAGATCATTTCACATCAAAATGCTAACTGTAAAACCAATAAAATGATTTGTAAATGCAAACTCTGGCATGGTGCTGCAGACCATTCAAGTTTGTTTCCCCCTCACTTGGCACACACCATCTATCAAAACAGGTCCAGGATGTATATTTTCAGCAGACATGAAGGAAACAAGGTAAAATAGTAAACATATCAGTGAGGCCAATAGTTATTAGCCACATTTGTATCCTGTAATTTCACATCTAAAAGGAATGCAACAGGAAATAGTCCCTATTCCAATGAGAGGAGCATTTCATCCTGGTTGCATCTTCAAAATGTGAAAAACCAGTACTGCAGCCAACAACTTTTCATTACCAATTAATCTATTTTCTCATTATTCAATCAATCGTTTGTTCTATAAAATGTCAGAAAATGGTTAAAAAAAATGTCCTTCACCAAGGTGACACATTGAAATTGTTTTTGACCGACCAACTATTCAATCATATTTTTAAAAAACAAAACAAAAAAACACAGCAAACCACCAGAGAGTCACTTATGAGAAACTGCAATTTGTTCAAAAACTGAGTTACACAGCAAGACTAATAGATCCCAATTTACTCTCAACAAAGCGCACTACTGCTTCATATTTTCACAGCTCATCAACAATTAACATGATCCCAGTTCATATTGTGTAAACACATGCAGCTGAGACAAGCATATTTTCCTATCTGTTGGCTAGACTGATAATTTTCGGCATGTACCGTGCCCTTACTTGCACTTTTAAAATCCTCTTTTTTCCCAAGCAATTTAAATGGAGAAACCTTTCTGGGCAGAATGAATTATCCTAAATATAATTACAGCAATCCAAAGCACTCAATTACATTTAAGCTGTGTTTTTGTGACTCTGGGATTCTCTTGGTCTTTGATGCCTTGTTGTAGTGTAGGAGCACTACATAGATAAGCTGCTGGTGTATAAAGAAAGATGAATACAAAGGGTCAGGGTCAGAATATGCATCATTATGTGTCGGTGGATACGCCTTGATTTACTTATGCATCATCTCAATTGTGACGGAAAACATGCATTCCCACATCGGCCCTCAGGGTTGGAATTACCACAATGAAGCACATCCAGCAAAGTATGCCAGTCCTGTATTTAGTAGCAGGACTTTAAAGTATATATATTTAGAAATGTAGTTTAAAAAAAAACAATTTATTTTATACAAAACAAAATGGACCCAGTAGGCCTACCTCTCGTCCCACAGTTTACAAAAATAAATTCACAGGCAAGCAAGCCTTAACACCCTCAGGGTAAACAGGTGTGCTGTCTAGCACTCAAGAAGCAAATCTCATTAAGCACATGCACACACACACACACATTTATGTACAAAGCACCTGAGATACAATAGCTGCCAAGGGGCTAATTTGAATTCTGAACCATAGTGTTTTTACAACCGGCAGAGTATAATAAGGGCAATTGTTCCTATTGTAAACACAGTTGTCAGATCAGCTTCTGTGCTTTCTGCAAGAATTACCTGCAGTGAATTCAAGTCTGTCTGGTGTTGAGTCAGCACCTGGGAGCAAAACACCATGAATGTAGTGTTTTAGGAAAACTTTTTTTGTTGTTTTTACCTGAGGCCATACAGGTTTCAACTCATTACTTAAAAAGTACGAAAACAAAGGTCCATAACTTAATAAACACAGCGTGACAAAGTAACAGTTATAGAGCACTTGGAAGTCACAAAATAGGATGTCAGCTGCCCTGTACAAAAAAAAGGGAACAATTCTTGTTGTTGGAGTGTTACAGGTTGAAACAAGCTAATCATTTTTCATTTAAGCCTTATTCTATCTCATTAACAGTTTTCCCCTCAACAGCTTCAATAGAACAGATAATAAACCAAAAAGATGCTGGATGAAGTTGTGAGTAATGTGTCAGTTTCAGTGATGAAGTGCCAACACAGAAGAGGTTGCACCTAAGTGGAAAGTCCCACATCCAAAATCCAACAGAAATTCCCTTATTTCACCTGGTGTTTGCCATTAACGCAGTCTGTACAGCTGTGGAGGGATTTGTCTCGCTCTCTCTCAAAAAAAAAAAAAAAAAAAAAAAAAGTGGATCCAGTGAAGAATTATCATTTCCTGAGCGTCAGCATGGCATTGACGTCCCACAGCAGGTTCCTCATCTGGTCCATGAGAACCTTCATCTCCTGGTTCTTCTGCCGCACCTTCTGCAGGTGAAGCACAAGACATATGACATTCAGTCAAACTCTTCAGAGTGCACGAGCCACAGCTTTAGCATTTTATCATCCTTTCAGGACAGAACCTAGTGTACTCTCTGTAAACATCACTGATCTTCTTAATCAGTAATTGAGACTTGATTATATGTGCTGGAGGAGTTTGGGAGTAAAAAAAAAGTTACTTTTAACTGGCTTGGTACTGAGGTTGTTGGTAAAATAAACAAACCTCAGGTAAGCCTTTCCTCTAAAAAATGTTTCCTGAAAAAGCCTGAAAAATTGATCACACCAGAATATTGAGTTTAATGTTAAAAAAAACTAAACAACAAAAAAAAAAGGAAAACAACACCCTGAGTTTGAAAATTTACTTAAGCTGCAAAGGATTTCTCCCATAGTACCAAGTGGGCACTTAGGCCTATGTCAGTACTGCCACCTAGAGGCTTTTGCAGGGGATTTTTTTTCTTGCTCAGTTCAGAACAGCTGACTGACTGTTCCCTCATTTGGTAATTTAAACCTTTTTCCATCTTAATAAAAATATGTGGAATGAGTGGGTTTTTTTGTTTTCAAAGTCTGTTTTGAATTTTAATATCAAAACAAATGTCAGCCTGTCTACCAGTCTACTGGTGTTATTTAACAAGTGGCAGCAGTGTAGGACCTTTACTTTGTGATTGATCCAGTAGCTCTTAAAATGTCTGGGATTTTAAAAAATTTCCCACCAATGTAAAAAAAAAAAAAATTAAAATTATCACTTATTATTAACTGTTCTATAATCTGAGAACAGCACTTAAGGTAGGGCATGACACTACCCTGATGCAAAAATTGATATTGATTGATATTAAATATTTGGCTGTTAATTAACCACCACTTCCGAGTCTGACTTTAGACAGAGAGAAAACAGAAACACACCTCTAGAACTTCTTTTCTCTCCTGGTTGACAGCAGAACTGCAGGGCTCCACTCTGACAGAAACCACCTCCTCTCCAACATATGGCACAAGCTGAAGAGAGAGAAGACACATGGAGAGGTTTTAAAATGGTTCCTCTCCTCTTTCTTGGTAAGAATGCATCAGGTTTTGATACATAACAAAGACAAGATAAGAAATACACAAGAAATACACTGACAAGTTTGTTCTCAATCAAGCCCAAATAAAAAGCACAGTCCATCTTCAGCGTTATATTACATGGCCATTGCAGTTTTTACAGTAAACTGACATCTAAACAGAAAATGAGGGCTTCTTCCTAACCTCTGCTGGCCCCTCCTGCAGGTCAGTGGTCATCTCCACACAGCGTTCGTAGAGGAGCCGAAGCTTTCGGAAGAGCAGGGCGAGCTGCCGTAGGTGTTCCTGGAGCTTCCCAAAGCGGTCCTGGTACATCGCCTGGCTCTGAGTCACACCATTAGGAAGCTACATCAAAGACACACAACGTCTCTCATCAGTTAAAGTCTTGGTTACATTTTTGGTTCAGATGGTTGTGTATTGAGCAGAGAAAGAGGAGTTGTCGGTAGACAGGAGATATTTTTAATATGACGGTATTAGAGCTGTAAACGAATAGTCTATATTCAGTGAAATAATCGAAATGTGAGAAAAAAAAAAAACAAACACAGACATTTGATTGTGAAAATAAATACTTGACTGTATTAAAAAATAAATAAATAAATAAAAAGCCACAACTACCACGGCTGCCTGGCTTGCCAGTTGGCTCCTGCACTGAATGTACTGCATGACAAACAGGAGTCACACAACGTCATTTTCATTGATTGAAAATGAAATGTAGGTCAAGCTGAAAGGAGCAAATAATTCAACAACCGTCTGGTAATGATGGCAGAGAGTTCTCAACCCAACTCTACAGTAGAGAGAGTGAGTTGCACTCAGAGCAATTTAAAAAATGCCATTTGGAAATACTTTGGATTTTGATTCACAGATGGCAAAATTGTGGGATGCAGCCTACCATTCCAGCACTAGCAACCTGAGGGAAAATATGCACCCAAATGAGCACCTATTCATGGCATTCAGTCCTTGGTCCTGATGTGGCTCACTTGCTCTGAGTTTTCAGCTCAGAAAAAAAAACGCAGTTTAATGGACAAGGACAAGCTGGAAGAGGTCAGCGATAAACTGAGAAACACAGTAAGAGACAATTAGAGACACCAGTCAGGTGGAGGTGGAAGGATGAGTAAGACAGATGCTGACAAGCATGCCAAGTAGATACACCAGAAAGGAAGGACAGGACAAATACATACTGACAGGTGTGTGTGGACATTAACTGAATAGCTGATGCTTTTCGAGCTTACAGGGTTCTTCTATCCTCTGACAAGAGACGGTAAAAAATACACTCTTTCTCATTTTAACATTTTTCTCTGAGTAGCTATTGCAAAATATGTCAGAAAGCAAATTAAGACATTTTGTACATGAAAATTGTGATCTATCATGACAGTGAAGAACTGGTAAGTCATTTTAATCTTCTGGCCTGCTCATCTGTGCAGATAGAGGTGGACAAAACTATTGTTTACTAGTTAGTCAACTATTTGTGAACCCTAACATTTGAAGGTTCCAGTTTCTCTATTGCAACAATTTGATGCTTGATTAAAAAATGGTTCCGTATTTTTTTTTTTCAAATTTGTTTTTGACAAAAATGAAGCAACTGCAAAACAACACCTTAGGCTTTAGTAATTTACAACTTTCATTTTGTAAAAATAATCTAAACTAAATCATTATTTCTTTATTTATTCAAAAACATAATATTTTTACTTTTAAGTTTAATTCTAATTCAGCATGAACAAAAAGTCCTAGCGGTGCTCAGAATCTGAGGTTTAAACATCAATACTTTCAAGTATCACTCATTAGTAGAATATCGTGTGATATAGTTGAAAGCTTCAGAACTAGAGATGAAGTATCTACAGCTAGCTGACACATGGCAATGTTCATTACTTGCGTGGCTCGTGTGATCTGGAAGATCTCCATGGTGCGAGTAACAATGTCCTGGACGGTCTCCTGTCCAATCCGACAGAGAAACACTGGGGAGATCTCTCTCAGGGCTCCCTGAGGGGGTATGGGCTGCTGACCTTGGGCTGAGGCAGCACTGGGGGGCAGGTGGGGCTGCTGCTGAGGAGGCATCCCTGCCATCCCCGGCTTCTGAGGTAAGGAAGCTGCCATCACTACACAAATCTGTGGGAAAGGGATGTGATTGAGTACATAAAGGTGATAGCTCAATAAAGCACATCTACAGAGTTATTTGCATTGATGTCACAAGTGGCGTTACTCGCATGTTAATCAGTGGTGGAGGAAGTATTCAGATCCTTTACTTATGTTAAACTACTAACATCACACTAGAAAATACACCCTTATAAGTAAAACGTCCACATTAGTTACATAAAGTATTTAAGTATAACCAGGAAAATAGTACTTGATGCAGAAACACACACACACACACACACACACACACACACATTCATACATTAATACATATATATATATATATATATATATATATATATATGTTTATATGTATATAGAATAACAGTACAACACTCAGAGGCCATTTTTCTGCATCATCTGTCTTTGGATTATTATTACTCATACAATTATGTGTAAGGTGTAAACGGGATTTTTCTGTTGAGGTGTAGCCATTTTGTAATTATTTTATATAACACTACAAAATTAATATTTTCATTCTAGATAAATCGATTGATTGATTGATTGATTTGTAAATTCATTAAACGTCCATCACAATTATACCTGAGACCAAAGTAGCAAATTGTCACATTTGAGAAACTGCAAAGTATCTGCAAAGTTAGCTAAAGCTGTCAAATAATTGTGGTGGAGTAAAACGTTCAATATCTCTCTCTGAAATGTAGTGGGGTAGAATAATTAAGTAGTATGAAAAAGAAATACTCAAGTAAAATGCAAATACCTCAATACCATAGGCATATTTATGAATATTTATAGTACTTGAGTAAATGTACTTCGTAACATTCTATCACTGTTAAACTCGTTATCCACTTTCAACTGAAAGTGTTTAAAACCATAATACAGCATACGATGTACTCCACTCTATCTACATCACATAAACTGGAGTTGTTAACAAAAGCCACAAGGCCGAAAATTTAATTCTTGTATGCACTAAACTTAAGATACTCATGGAACAGCGTTTTGAATGACTAAGACAGAAGCTAATCCTTGTAGCTAACCAAGCCTAGCCTGAACAAAAAAGAACCCATAGAGGAAAGCTTAGCCGCTAGCTAGCTAACTGCGTGGCGAGTGCAGAAAACCGCTTACCTAATTAAATAACGTCCTTTGGCTGGATGCTGTGCAAATATATCCAGCTTGCTTGCTTGTTGCGAAAAATATCGTTTGCTTATCTATTATTTTAAATAAGACATAATGAGACCTTTCCACTGATGTTTCAGAAAGCTCAGCGCGTTATTGTTTTCATGACGTCACTTCCTGGCAGAGAAAGACACATTTCCCACCACCAGGTGGAGACCATAAAGTATGGGTTGGAGAGGGTAATTTGTGAGTAAATATAGTGAACACAAAGGAGTGAACACCAACCTCACTACAGCACAGCTGACCTTACACTAAGAGCTGGGGCTTAAAGGGGGCTGTGAAGTACTGTTGGGGCGTTTAATTTTAACTATTAAATCATAAGCTGTAAAGTACTAGATAAATGTAGTAGAGTAAAAGTATAAAGGAGTACAACTACTTTCAAGTTACAAAGTACAGTAATTTATCAAATGAACATAGTTACACGCCATTGTTACTTATATTTAAAGATATCATAACATGAAATATACCTACTTCTCTGCATTTATGGAAATACTGTTTGCTCAATGTATTCAGTCCTATACAGTAGTAGACAATGCATTTTTGCTTATACACAAACAGTTAAAAAACCACTAACTTATTGAGGTATCTTCACATAGAACCAAAAATAGCACACAATAATAGACATTTGTGGGTTAAATGAAGGTTGTATAAGTCTTGCTTGCCTTTCAGCCAAGCCAGACCAATGAGGTTGAGTGATGGCAATTCATTAGTCAGTTATGTGTTCAGCTGCTTTCTCTATTTGCTAAATCAATGTAGCAGGCTTTATCCATTCTTTGAAGGTTGCATTTATTGTGATGGTCCAGAATTTTTAAGGAAGTGCATTTTGTTTTTTTCATGTGGTGTGGTTTAGAGTTTAATAGGGCCTTTGTCAACGTGAACAATGAGTAATGGCCACATAGATATCATCAGCATTTGATGAAACAAATGGCAGTAATGTTTCATTATTTCATCATTTTTATTTCTAAGTGTCCAAGAAAAAAGTGCGCAAAGAAACTGGCAAGTATACAGAAAAAAAAGAAAAAGAAAAGGCGAAAGCTGAGCTATTTTACTCCCTACATTCTGTGTCACAACAGTAAGTCATTTGTATCCTGTTTTAACTCTGAACTGATGAGAACTTTTTTCATAATTTACTGTACAAATTATAGTAAAGTTACTTTAGTTAATTAACTTTTTTGTGTCCCAAAAGACAATGCTGCAAAGTATGTATGGCTTAAAGAATATCCTTAGTTTATTTTGTTCATGATTTACTGTATATGTCGACATAAATCGAATCACATGTTATGTAGCTGTAGCTGACAATAACTGATATTACTTTACAGAAAGTATGTCTATTTATAGCCAGTAAGCCAGAGAAATGTCACAACAACTAAGGCTATTGGATGGATTATGATCAAAGTTTGCACTGACGTTCATGATACCTAAAGGATGAATTGTAATAACTTTAGTGAGCCCCTGACTTTTCTTCTCGCACCATCATCAGGTCAAAAATATTAATTTGTGCAATACTTTGGTTCATAGCTGTATACCTTTGCAACTAATGACGTTCCCATCAACATCAGCCATATTTTGTGTAGTGCTAATCAGCAAATGTTAGTATGGTAACATGCTAAACAAAGATTGTGAACACAGTGAACATTATACCTGCTAGACATTTGCATGTTATATCATGAGAGTACCGATGTTGATGGTGAACAAAGGTACCAGTATAACTTGTTTACTCTTGTTTTGTTTTTATATTACAGAGTAAAAAATTTGCATTTAGTGTTTTATCCTTTTGTCTTCAGAATCAACACATTCATGAGGAATTTGGCATGGTTTATAAAATGGGTCCTTCATGACTTAAGCATTTAATGCTCTAATTTGTCTCTTTTGTAAATCATCGGTTGTTCAGTGTTGTAACAATATGCTCCAAAGTTAGGCAATTTTGAGTACATATGAACGTGATTATCTTCTGAGCATCAAATGAAATGTTTACAAGACCCCTCTTCCTCCTTTTAACTGCATTCTCTCACCTTTATGGTTGAATTCTATGCACCTGCCAAGACAGTAAAACATGACCTAATGCAATCAGTAAGTCAGATAAAACATGCCAAACAAAAAGCAAAAAAATGAGGAAGAGTGCGATGCAATGTTTAAAGCTTAATTATTGACCTTCAGGTATTCATTTGGAGCCCATCATCAAACAGAAATGTAGGAAAACACACACACACACACACACACGCTAAATATGCATCTATTACAGCAGTGTCTGAGGACTTTAGCACTGATGACACGGAGCACTGGGTTATCTAAAAGAGACATTAAAATGCACAATACCAGGAAATATTCAGCATGGTGATAACACTGCTGATAAAGCACCACAAAGGACTGGTTGTGATGTCGTAGCAACCAGAGGAACCTGGTACAGGAACAAGTTTGCTTCCCTCTCTAGCCTTGAGATTGTATGATGATGATGATGATGACGATGATGATGATGACAATGATGGTGATGATGATCATGAGAGAAAACTAAAGGCATCTGTGTAATTTTTTATGTGCTTTGGTTTTTGATTTGATTTTGTTTTTAATTAAAGTCGATAAAACGTATAGCTGCATATACACTCTTTTTTAATCACCTGCTTTGTATAGATTGTAGGTTGCATTTGTGTGCGACAGTATCAGTCTTAACTTTGAGTTCTGGTGAGAGTTGTGCAACTTATCACTTGAAGCTGTCCTGTCACACCCCTCCCTCTGTCATCTTTAAGCTTATAAAATCAAAATGAGAGGGACTGTCTGTTTACTTTTACTAAAGAATACACAAGTCAAAGTTTTATGGGAAAATGAACTTGATCTAATAAAAGGTACAAGCTGCTATATGTTTTGTGAATCACTTCTACGCTTAAAACTGCAGCACTTGCACCTAGTGATATTCCAAAATTGATTATTTTTCACAGAACCAAAATGTTAGTCTGCTGAGGCTTTCACATCATCGCTTTGTTTCATATAAAGTGATAAGATGCCAGTTTTACCTCAAGTATTTGTTCAAACTTGATATCAAAAGCTAAATATCACAGGGGCACATTCCTTTCTGCTTGCTTCAGTTGCACTAACAGCTCCTCTGGCTGCAAGTCAACAGACAAGGTGAAATCAAACGTGCCTTATTCACCAAGTCTCCATCACAATAATCGTCACTGGAGTGGAAAAAGATGAAAGTAAATACAGCAGGATTCTTGTATTATCAACGTAACCCCTGGAAGTCTTTACTGATGGGTTTCTGTGGTTACATTCCATTTTTAGGGGAATTACCTTATCAGATCACAAGTTTCCCTTAGCTGACTTTCTGTTCTCAGGTTTCTCCCTTCTGTATCTGAGCTTGGTCGAAAGTGAAAAGTTGAATATGAAGAGGAAAAAAATTAGCTTCCTATTTCTATTTAAATGCTCTGAACAAGTACCAGCTTATATTCTTTTTGGCAAAACATAAGGATTTGAAGTTGTTAGGACATGGAAATATAAATGATCAGTATTATGTAATTGTATAATAATTATTAGAGATGAGATTCTAGTCACTAACAAGACAGTAGAAGCTGTAATCATCATGTTATGACTCGAGTCTGACTAATAGAGGTCAAATAATAGTGCCACTTCAAGCCACATTAGTTTTATGGAAACAAGCTGCAAACACCACACTGGTATATATCAACTTTTTAGTTGATATAGCAAAATTGTTTGCAAACATTGGCTTGTTTACACATTCAGCAGACACTGAGCAACATAAGCACATATTTTGAGTCACAGTTCTAGCCACCTGGAGAATGTAAGTCTAATATGCACTCTCCTTTTAGCCCTGTGTTGGTCTCCACCAACCCCTGAGAAAATCATCTGGTGCTTAAACGCTTCACTAAATGTTTTAAGACCACAACAAAACAGTTTAGAGCTTTCGTGCTGAAAACAGATTCCTGCTGTGGCTAAAAATGCCGTGAGAAGCATCAACAGAGAAAGGAAAGTTACAGGTTGGAAAACCCAGAAGAATTTGCTGAAAGACACGAAAAAGTTCTGTATAGCTGCGTGGAACTGCAGAGTTGGTGATAGTTCTCCTTTCAAGTAGTCATCCATAGATAGATTGTTGATAATAAACAAATAGATATATAAAATATTGATTATAAGACCAGCAAATTGTACCAACATATTATTAAGGTTCAGTTACATCTTTTAACTCAACGTTTTTTGCCTTTGAAATATGACTTTTCTCAAGTGTTTTTTATTTTTACCTTGTGGCACAGAAGAAATTTTGTTAGTTATATAACAAACATAACACATATTTCAGGAAATCACAACTACTGAAAAATAAAGTTGCACACAACACACCCAGCCCTGTTTATATAAATTTTAACAATCAGAGACAAAATAAAGTGTGGTAATATAATATATCCTGTAATATGGCACTTCTCTGTGATGTGAGAAAGTTCAGGATGTCCAAATTCTCTAGCATAATTACAGCAGTGTGCTTTAATCTCCAGGGTTGAACCAGTCAGTATTTGTCAAGGTAAAAACAGTGTAAGTGTAAGCCTAGCTTTAGACATTCAGTCAGAATACAGGGAGTAGATTTATCCACACCTAATTCTAATTTATACATCTCTTATAAAATTATTAACACAGGTCAGGCTGGAAGTGCTCCAGAGTAGATGTGTGTGTGATATTTTTTTTTTCTGCACAGCCCTCCCTGAAGACTAACACCATTATCAGCATCAGTGTTATGGAGAGCCGGCAGGTATAAAAGGACAGACAGAGAGGTGGGGACAGCCATAAAGCTCCAGGGGAATAGCTGAAAACCAAGATGAAGAAGACAGGGATGCTTGTCCTCTGTGTGCATTTGACCTTCATGTTACTGGGCAGCACTGAGGTAAGAGACACTTTGGAAACCTGGTGGAAAACATATTATGGGACAAATGACCTGAGTTTCAGTCCACATTCAGAGGACTGTGATGGAACACTGACGGGCAAACAGTTCATCCTCTCTGACTGGTGAACACCGGTTGAACAGCTAATTTATGTGGATTTTGAGCTTAAAGCTCAGTTGCCCTTTGTTTTTCTATCTTAAGTGTGGTTACATTCAAATTAGCCAGAGAGGTAAATGAAACATTTAAATGCATCTCAAAGTCAAGGTAAATTTTAATTTTTCCATTTGGATTGTATTTACTACTGAACACAAAAGTTCGTAGTCCATCTCTCTCAAAGTAAAATAATAGGAACACGAATAAAAAAAAAAATGTAATTGAAAATTAATTCTTGACCTCAAAAACAGTAGTCATCGCAAGGTCCATTTAATAGTATGTCTCATGATCTTTCCTTTCACTCTTAACCTTAACAATAGCAAAAAAAAAATTAATAAAATTGGATAAAACAAATTAAAAGCAAAATAAAAAGTAGTTAGTCAACATATTTCCTTTTCTACCATTTTCTCTGAAAACTGAGTGTTGCTAGTCTTGTAATATTGAATTATTATTTCACTTGTCCCACATCTGCGTATCAATGACTAGGAAATTTATTTATAGTTCCCGCACTGCTACAATCCTGTGAAACTGAATATATTAGACCTACTTTACTTTGTCAGCCATCACTAATCCTTTCTTTTGCTGCTGGTGGGAGCCACTTGGTGTCGGGAGCACTCCCATTTCCAGAGCACAGGTCTAGACTGGAGGGGAGATGAAATACGACAAAGAATGAAGGTAGTCAGGGGGACAATTATAAGCCAAAGAGTGCAGGGCAAACATGCGCCGCAGGCCTCTATCAAACACACTGATATGCAAAGTATGGTAAATTACTTCATAACCCACGTATTCAGCTGGAATAGCAATCGCCTGACCTTTGCATGATGTGGCTCTGAATGATTTGTCACATAGAGACACACTGTACTGCAGGAAGGTCTTTATCTGTGGCATAGATTGAAAGCATGATACAGACAGGAAATGCGGACAGTATAAGCTGGTGTTGAGTGAGGAAGCGAACAGAGCGATGTGATAAGTAGGCCACTACAGACAAGAATCTAATTTTATCTCCTCATTACTGTTATAATATTATTATAAAGTTATCATGCCTGGTACCATCATCTTGATCACACACATTACATATTTTCTCACTCACTTGTAGTTGTATCTCGCCATGCAGATAGATGTTTCCACTGCCTCCCCCATACAGTGGAGGAATTTCGTATGTGGGCTAAGAGCACTAAGAAATCTACATTTAAAAACATTTGTTTTTCACGGGGATAGTTAAGCAATTGATTTGTGAAAGAGAAATGAAATATTTCGCCTAGCATAGTTTAAAGGGGGGATAACAGCTAGCTCTGTCCAAAGTAAAAAAAAAAAACGAAAAAAAACCCCAACACCTTTAAAGATCCCTAACACCTTGTGTCTCATTTATTGAAGTAGTTAACAGACAAAAAAATGTCAAGGGAAACTGCACGCTGAAACTGTTTTGTTGCTACCAGCGGGACGCATAGACTGTGACTGCAGCTTCGTAAAGTTTGTAGACACAGACAGGTGGCCAGGTGTGGTATCACCGCTGCTGTCCGGAGACCAAAATCTAAAACTGTGTGCACTGATTATTTAGCAATACCACGCTGACGCTGTTGTTTGTCAAGAAATAGATCCATCATGTAACTCCCTCAAAAAATCATAAATATTGATGTTTTCACATTCACGCTCCTTTACGGGCTAATTAAGATTGTGCAAGACAGCGTTTGGGTGGTTTTAAACTCTGGACAGAACCAGGCTTTAGCTGTTTTCCCAAGCCTCCAGTCTTTATGCTAAGCTGAGCTAAAAAAAAAAAATAGCTTCACTTCATTGAGATATTCCTTTAAGAAACAATGCTCACTACTTGAAATTTCATCATTATTAAAAAAGCTGCTAACAATGAGGTGTGTGGATTATCCAGAGAAGCTGGGACATTGTTGCTGGAAAGACATGATGCTGTTTTAATGTTTAAATATATTTTTTATTGCTGCGACAACCACAAACATTAAATCTCATCTGTCTCCTGCCCATGAGAAAATATTATGTTTGTATATACTATGACTCTGAACTTATCGCATCTCTTCTGCACTGCAAACTGTTGTTTTCTTTCACAGGGAAACATGTCAACCGTTTGCAGCAACTGTTCAAGTACAACAATAACAGTAAACTCAACGACCACCAGACCTACATCAACCACGCTACTGCCCAGCAGCCCCTCCACCCATGTGACCTCCAGCAGCTCCACCAGCAGTGCTGTAACCACAAGCTCACCTCCCACCACCACCTACTCCTCCCCCTCCTCCCCCTCCTCTCCCTCCTCCACCTCCTCCCCCTCCTCCACCACATCCTCGTCCTCCACCCCCACCTCCACCTTAGCCGTCACCTCAACCTCCACAGCTACCACTACTACGTCAAAGCAGACCACAACGTCCTCTGGATCAACTCAAAGCTCTACAACCAAATCATCCACCACGCAGGATTCTCCAACTGTGAGTGTTGGGAGTGTTGGCACTAACACTTCAACAAATTCAACTTCAAGTCCGACAGCAGGGTCTGCTGCTTTGTTCGGGTGCTACAGTCAACTGCTGGTGCCTGTCATCTCCATTCTCATCTACAGCGCAGAGGGCTGAAAGTGTACAACCTCCACCTAAGGGACTTTTGTCCTTTATATTAAATCCATAAATCCTCCTATGTATTAAGGGAAAAGTTCACAGATTCACCTTTCCTCAATATAAATGTTTTGATTTTTGACTCTCGGAGCCTCTTATTTAATGGCTCATACTATGACTGTCACACATTTAGCATACTAATGCTATGAAGTGCTTTGTTTGCACTGAGCTCTTTTCCACTTTTACCAAGGCTTCCCCACACAGTCTCTATAAATGATGTGTAACCCCATGCTTCAAATGTTAAAACTATGTTTCACAAAATACTTAATGTAAACAGTGGCTATGAAACTTCTCTGGATTTTTGTGGCAAATAAAAAGGTAATTGAACTGGCATTGGACTCTAAATGTATTCTTCAAAGTAAAAAAATAAAAGGACACATATTGGGGGGGAAATGATGGAAACATTTTTCAGAAAATTTCAATAGAACTGGATTAATCCTCAGTTTTACTAAAACTGATGGCCATGGTAGAATCACAGCTGCAACCTCATTTGCATTTAGGCTTTGATATTAAAAACAAATTCCATTTAATTCAAACAGCGCATTTAAATTCAGGATGTTCGAACCACCTTTAAGATTTAGTTTCACTTCTCTCTAATGGCTCTGCCTCAGCGTATTTCGGACATGACGACAATTCATTTAAATATATTTGTATAACTTTTGCACTGTGTGGAGTATAATAAGAATGAGCTAATCATTTTGGTAAAATGTAGGTTTCAGGTTGTCTTGTTGCATTATATTACTGGAAAAGTTCAAACTTAAACATGGCTTTGTATTACAGTTGAATAGATTTGAAACAACAGGGGAATTGTTATGATGAAAGGAGTAGGGTGTGGTTTAAATGCAGTAACAGGAGGATAAATCAGTGCACAATTATCGATATCAGTTGTATATTTGACTTAACTTCCATCTGATTTAACTTCATTATCCTCAGAGTAAGAAATTCACTGGGATCCTGATCCACAAGGCTGCGTCAAAGAGAGCCAACTCATTACTGAAGAATTCTGCTTTTTACTGCGTCTCATTCAATAAGATGAAGTATTAACAAATGATCTCAATCTTACATTCACCAAAGGATAAAAATAGCTGCAGTTAAGCAGTTGGAGGAGCTTTGCAGAACAAAAGACAGCAGAGAAGTGGTATCTCTTACATCCATATCTGGATTGATATCACTTGGCTTAGTTGGGGGTTTTGCATTTGTGGTTCATCACTGGGGTGGAGACTGAGGCCAGACTTCCTGAAAGAAAACAGGTATCAGGTGAATAATCTGAATACCTTATAAAAGGCCAGCCTCTGTAAAAATACACATTTTACAAAACTAGGACTCTCAGCAAGGACACACAAGTGCATGACTGGCCTGAACCTGAAAGAGGTTTTAACAAGCTATCTCCAGCTTTCTGTTTATCTTGAAGAGGAAATCATCTTTCATCCAATATGAAATCCAGTGTCCTTGGGCTGTTTTCACTGACTCTTCTGGGATTTGTCTGCGCACAGGTAAAACTCATGTAGTGTAGATAGAAAGGGAGATAAACATGAAGCTAAAAAAAAAAATTGTAACATAAAAAGTTCTAATATCTTTAATAAATGAACAGATTCACCCCAATAAGTCACAAGACATATTCATCATAGTTAATATTTTGTGCTTTTATTATTCATTAATAATGTTTTTTTGTGAAATCACTACCAGTTTTGAATCTGAAACCTGGTTTTGTTAGTATTTTTACAATACAATACAAAATTTTATGCTCTGTAGCATCAATTACAATGTAATGTTATATCATTAATGTCTTTTTCTGTCTCCTCTCACTCTCCTTATGCACTCAGATCTCAGAAAAGGCATCCATCACTCATTACACCACCATCACTCCCATGGCCAAGACTAAGACAAACAACAACAACAACAACAACGACAAGAACAACACTACCAGCAACACCTCAGGAGCCAATGCCACCATGTCCAATACCACCACCAGCACCACGACCGGGACCAGACCCACAATGATGACGGGCAATGGCGGCACAAATTACATGACCATCATGACAACGAAGAGCGGACAGAGCCACGTCTTCACCTCTGTCAGTCTACTGTTTGGGTCTTTTGTTCTTCAAGCACTTTGGCAGTGAGCGCCCTCCTGAGGCTCAGAGATGGAGTGAGTCTTCCACTGCACAATCCTGCTTCACACTGCCTTGCAAATCTGATGTTACTGTAGAGTGTTTGCTGTAGAGGAAATAGATTTTCAGTTGTTTTGTGTTTAAAAAAAATGTGGTTTACGAGATTATGAAATGATTAACGAGTCACAGTGACAGAGTCAGCTTATTAATTAACCAACAGACAACAACTTAGACAGGTCGGTATCAGACCTTGCATTGATATGCGATGGAAAAAGCGGCAGCCCATGAAACATAATGAGTTTAGGCATGTTTGTTTGTATTAGAGAATGACATATCTTAACCATATTTACATTTTATATATACTGTAGGCCTATTAATTGTCGTGTGCAATAATTTATTCAATCAAATATATTTCAAGTATATGAATATAATATAAATTAATAAACATATTGTCATTTTTATCTACATGTCACACTGTATAGTAGTTGTGTAGATTTTTGAAGCAACTGTTTTTGTGTGTGTGTGTCTTACTATAATTATTCATACACAGTAGTACAAGTGGTAATGTGAGTATTTGCTTTATATTGTTATATTAAAAAAAACAATAAACATTGAATAAACAGTGAAATATGTTATTACTCTATTACAAACGTGTAATATTTGTCGTTATTTATTTAATAATATATATTTATCAAGATGAAAAAGAGCAATGATTATGTTTGAAAATAAAAATCGAAAACATTTTTTTCTTTTCCACGTTGCACATTTTTTAAAGCAAAGAGATTAAAAACAAAGCTTCAACATCCGATATGAATCATGGATATGCTCCCTCTGTTCTGTCTAACAGGTTTTTATTGGCACGACACTCTACAGACAGTAGTCAGTCAAGGTATTGTATTGTGTGGTAAAATAATGGCTGAGGTAGACCTCAGAGAGATAGAGCTTATTCAAGAGGGAGGCTTTTGTTGTGCTACTGTATAAGGAAGATTTGACATCAATACTGAGCCAACACCCAAATGCTGGACTATATAGCTAATCTTTAACATGACAATTCTTATCATATTTTCCTTAAAATGAGAAATGCATTTTATATTCTTCAGGTTATAAAAATTTAAATATTGTAGGACTAGTTTCAGAATCAGCTCACATAACATAAATACCATTACCACACACCACATGGTAGAATGGCCTATTACAGTAAGTCCATGAAAGAGGAGCAGGATAAAAAGGTAAACAAGCACAATGACCCTTCAGTGAGTCAGCAGATTTAGTCATAACGATGACGTGTCCCTCTTGTGATAGAATGATCTGGTGATTTTTAAATAAATCAAACCTCAAGCAATGTTAAAGACATTATGTAAACTAGAAAGTGCAATTTCTGAAAAGAAAAAGGCATTGGGATTGTTGGCTTCTGCAAAAGCTGAAGCTAAATTGCATTTCTTGAATGTATAGAGAAGCAGTTGAAGCAGTTATTAGAAAGGGAAAAAGGATGAAGAATGAAAACTGTGGTGTAAAAAAAGTTGAATGTGTTGTAAAATGTGAGTTGTGTAACTGAGTTGAAGTACGTGCAGACAGAGAAAGCTGCATTGCTTCACGCGTTGCCTATCACTGTAAATCCCAATCCGCTATAGCAACATGAAAGTTATGAGTAAACCTGACACAATAACCTTTGTCTGACTGAAGTTCGACAAAACTTTTTTTCTTAACTGTTTTGAGCATTAACTCTACATCTGCACTGTTGTAGCTGTTAAAAAATGAGTTGGCGCGCTGAGTACCAAGCTAGCTAGCTAGGGAGGCAGCTGCTCCCTCCCTCCGAGCTAGCTGGCTCTATAATTAACACAGCTAGCCCCCCACCTTTCCTCTTACTACTCTCCTTTGTCTTGTCTGCCTCTATGATCTGGACATCTATTAGCCTGGTTAGCCATGTCTCTGCTTCACTCCCAGTAATCCCTCTAATGTTGAGTCGGTGTCGCCAGCTCATCCTAATCCCTGCTGCAGACAATGGCTACATGGCAGAACGCAAGACAAGCCATGAGTTTGATCATTTTGCTGAGTCTGTTTGATGTAATATAATAACAAAATATGCACACAAAGGGAACACAATAGTTGCAGAAAAAAAGAAAAAGAAACGGATAAAAAAGCTTGGTACCAAGCTGAAGCTGCTGTAGCTAGCTGCCACTCCAGCAGTGCCATCTTGAAAATTGTCTCTCTTCACAGATCTTAAATTACATAAATAAATGGTAATTGTACTCAACCTTTACACTTAGAGTTTTTTTGACAAATTTTTATTTATACTAAAAATAATAAGTTGGTAAAAACACAGACAGTTTTGTGTTTTTGTTTTTTAAAGTGAACACATTTTTTTTCATTTCACTGAGCAACATGATACTTCTCAAATAAACACTAAACAACTGACTAGATATTTTTACAATCCCACCAATAAGAAAAGTAGCCTCACAAGGTCCACAGCAAAGATGCTGCACTTGTTATGTAGGGTTATGAGGAAACCATTCTTGATTCCAGTGTGTGTGAACATTCAATCAGTATGTAGTGTGTTGCTTAGACTTTATTGGCATCATCAGCTCACTATCAGAGCAGGAAATAATAAGCCAGTATCATGTTTTTTTCTCAGATTAAAACCTACATTCAGGCTCTCAGGATTTTTCTAGAATTAAAATGACCTTTATCCTGTGACTCAAACTCATATGAGGAAACAAAATTGAAGCCTTTTCCTGTATCTGTTTGTCAATTATCGACCTTGAGGAACAAGGCTAAATTAATCATTTTATCTTTACGATTAATCTAAATGCCGCAGTCCATTGGACATAACTGCACTAGTGACTATTGTCTACTACTAATAGATCACTTATTATTTTTCAATCATCTATTTTTCAATCAGCTCCATCAGGGCAGGGAATTTTAATGGAATGCCATATATATTTATTAACGTTAAAAATTAAACAGGGTGTCAACATCATGGTTACAAAGTAGAATAATTTCAATCATTGTTTAAGCCATAAAAAATAGAAATTATTAAATCTACAAAGTTTCCTGAAATTGAAGGTGAGCAGATGAGAAAGACAAGCACTCACTGTAGGGTTAGCTCTAGGGGATTGTTATAATATCATAAAAATGAATTGTTCAACTAATAATTGACTAGTGTCATAAAAACTTTATATATTTGATTACTTTAACTCTATATTAATTTTTAACTTAAATATTTTTAGTAACAGGAACAAGGTGTCAGTGTGAGTAGTTCCTAATCACTGCAAAGGACAAAGGTGAGAGTTATCGAAACTTCACAAAGAAGGATGCCCTATACTAACACATGCATGTTTCTTACACACCTCCTCAACCAACCTGGATCCAGATTTTATGGCATACTGTACGTCATAAATTAGCACCTACCCCTCCTGATATATTCATAGTTTCATATAAAAGAGAAAACAAAAGGTTTCCATTCAGTCTACCAGAGGAAGGTCCCAGAGGTGAATTATAATAGAAGGACTTTCACAGGATTACAGAACCCATCAGCCTTCCTTCTTCCTTCATATCTCAGGCACATCTCGGCCTCCTCTTGGCTCTCCACCATGAAGATACTGGCTCTAGGATTTTGCACACTGGCTCTGCTGACATTAGCACAGGTAACATACTCATAACCTTTTAAATGACCATACTGTAGATGGGAATGTCATTGCGGTTGAGTCAGTCTGCTGACTTGCCCCATTGTCCTGAAAAGGTCAGATGAGTTTTTCATGTAATTTAAAAGGTCTTGAACAGGCATCAAGTCTTTCTTTTTTAAGTCATGGTATCACAGTATCATATTGCTGTAACAGTAAAATAGGAAAATGTTTATTGTAACTGCATAAATTGTTTAGGATTTTCAGTAAATAAATACATAATCATGAAGGCTCAGTTTTTAAAACTGGTCTTTGTGACTTAATTTATGTAACAACACTTTGTGCAGATGGAATACATTACAGGTTAGCAAAAGAGCTGAAATGAATCTCTAATACATTGCAACATATAAAGAGTGCTAATGTTTAATCATTTGAAAAGTAAAAAAAACAATGCACTATTGTTACACTAGGAAAAAAAGGTATTCTCTTCCACAATGACTTGAGTAAGTTATGTCCTTAGATGGATGGTAAGTACGGTAACATATGTATTGTTGGTTTTGCCATTTGGAAAGGATTTAATACATTGTGTCAAGGGAGGTACAGAACTATTTAGAAAGTTTAATTTTATCATTTCTTATTCTGTACTCTGATCATCATCATCCAAATACATGAAAATGTTAACAGGGACATTTTGTACTTGTCCCTTGTCTGACATCATAATCACAACCAGCGGTTCCTCTTCTTTTATTGCAGCAGTTAATTTCTAAACCATAACTATATCTGGCAGGTGCATAGTAGTCTGTAAATGCAGGACTCCTGTGCTTGGTATGGTATCTAGACCAACAATTTACGATAAACTTATTTGTTTGGATTTACTTGCAGGTGAGGCAATTTGTTGTCCATTTTTACACATTAGTGCAGTACTATCCAGCAGTTTTGGCTGCAATGGTATTTTTTGGTCAACAAAGAACTAGATTTACACTGACTGAAAGGATTTTTCCACCCTATTCCCAATTAGACTTCTGTTGCTGTCACGACACCTGGAGCAACGACTATATCTACTTCTCCAACCACCACTACAACTGCAACACCAACTACTACAACAAGTGATGCAGCAACCACGACGACAACTGCGACACCAAACACTACAACAACTGCTGCCGCAACCACCACTACAACTGTTACACCAAACACAACAACAACTGATGCAGCAACCACGACGACAACTGCAACACCAACCACTACAACAAGTGATGCAGCAACCACGACGACAACGGCGACACCAAACACTACAACTGATGCAGCAACTACCACGACAACTGTGACACCAAACACTACAACAAGGGATGCAGCAACCACGACGACAACTGCAACACCAACCACTACAACAAGTGATGCAGCAACCACGACGACAACGGCGACACCAAACACTACAACTGATGCAGCAACTACCACGACAACTGTGACACCAAACACTACAACAAGGGATGCAGCAACCACGACGACAACTGCAACACCAACCACTACAACAAGTGATGCAGCAACCACGACGACAACGGCGACACCAAACACTACAACTGATGCAGCAACTACCACGACAACTGTGACACCAAACACTACAACAAGGGATGCAGCAACCACGACGACAACTGCAACACCAACCACTACAACAAGTGATGCAGCAACCACGACGACAACGGCGACACCAAACACTACAACTGATGCAGCAACTACCACGACAACTGTGACACCAAACACTACAACAAGGGATGCAGCAACCACGACGACAACTGCAACACCAACCACTACAACAAGTGATGCAGCAACCACGACGACAACGGCGACACCAAACACTACAACTGATGCAGCAACTACCACGACAACTGTGACACCAAACACTACAACAAGGGATGCAGCAACCACGACGACAACTGCAACACCAACCACTACAACAAGTGATGCAGCAACCACGACGACAACGGCGACACCAAACACTACAACTGATGCAGCAACTACCACGACAACTGTGACACCAAACACTACAACAAGGGATGCAGCAACCACGACGACAACTGCAACACCAACCACTACAACAAGTGATGCAGCAACCACGACGACAACGGCGACACCAAACACTACAACTGATGCAGCAACTACCACGACAACTGTGACACCAAACACTACAACAAGGGATGCAGCAACCACGACGACAACTGCAACACCAACCACTACAACAAGTGATGCAGCAACCACGACGACAACGGCGACACCAAACACTACAACTGATGCAGCAACTACCACGACAACTGTGACACCAAACACTACAACAACCGTTGGGCCAACCACCACTACAACTGTGACATCAACCACTACAAGTGATGCAGCAACTATTACGACAACTGTGACACCGACCACAGCAACAACTGTTGCGCCAACCACCACTACAGCTGCGACACCAATCACTATAACAACTGGTGCACCGACAACCACTACAACTGTGACACCAACCACTACAACAACTGATGCAGCAACCATTACGACAACTGTGACACCGACTACAGCAACAACTGTTGCGCCAACCATCACTACAGCTGGGACACCAACCACTACAACACCAACCACTACAACAACTGCTGCCCCAACCACCACTACAACTGCAACACCAACCACTACAACAACTCTTTCCCCAACCACCACTACAACTGTGAGACCAACCACTACAACAACTGTTGCCCCAACCACCCCTACAAGAACAACGTTAACCACTGAAGCCACCACAACGCCAAATGGAGGCTCAAGAGTCAAAGCTTCTCTGCTGTTTTCTTTAGTGCCACTGTTGCTCTACAAGCTCTATTCCTGAGCAGTAAATAGCAAAACTCACTTTAAAAAAAAGTCTGTGTTCTTCTGTGAGTTCTTGAGTCGAATGAATGCAGTTGTGCTCCACTGAGGGGACTGATGGAGTAGGATAAGTACTGAACTTTTTAAGTGTGTTAAACATTTGCTGGTTGTTCTTCAGTAATGTGTTGATAAACTTAAGGTATTTGTTAAATCGTCATGTTAAAAGAAACATGGTATGTAATGGATCTGAACTCTGTGTGGTATCAGGAATAATTGAAAGAGTAGGAGAGATTTAAGTTAGCCAGAGTTAGCTAAGATTAACATATAAAATTTTTGAACTGTGATTGTTATACTATTTGTATAAACATTACATATTTGGACATATAACATTAACGAAAAAGAGAAATGATGAATATTCTAAAATAATTCAATATTAAATCACTAAAAGAAAGGGTGCCATTATTTTCTGTTTATAAGCACCATTTGGAAAACATACTGTATGTAGATATGACATCAGGATCAGGAACTATTACTTGTAGATATTAAAAGTAATCAAAACAAATGCACAAACTGCACTCATAAAATATCCAACAGAACTTCTTAGATTTAGTTGCATGTATTTGTAGAAGTCTTTAAAGCAAGCATACACAGAGCAGGCTATTAAATAAGATTCCATAAAATATGAATAGCAGCAATGGGACAAGTAGTTTATTTTTGCACATCATAAAATTTGTAGCTTTTGTTTAGTCTTCAGATCGACAGATGGCCAGCAGAGCCTGTAGATGGTCTCCTTTGAAGTGTTTCTGTGTGAGAAAGAGGAGATTTAGGCAACATGTAAAAATGTCTGTGCAATTTCCCTTGAAAGAATGCAAACAGTATGTGTATGTTGTATTTATGACAATATGATGTGTGTCACCCACCTGTAGAGCAGTGTAGAGAGAAGTGCCTGTTAACTTAATGTAGGCAGCTCGGATACACAGCAGATCTTCCTCAGAGTGAGACACCATAATCCCTTGCACACCTGGTGTCTGCAAGAGTGAAATGTTTTGTGTGTGAACAGTTATGTGTGTATTTAACGATCTCAGGTACTAGAGGGTTTCCTGCATGTATAAAAGGTTTGCCTACAACGGGAACATAGGTTTAACCAGTCATCTTTGCACATCTGTCAGTCTGACCCTATGTCTGTCTGCTTTCTCCTAATTCACCTGAATGACACTTTGCTATGGTGACAGTAAGGTCAAGTAAGGTGGTAGCTTTCCAAAATACTGCCCTCTGATTTACTGAGCATTATAATGTAAATACAAAATTGTAGCACACAGATAGACAAAGATGATTTGTTAAGCCTATAGGCCCAATTAAGAGGCTGGGATCATACAGTAGAAGTAGGCAGTAGCAAAATTCAAATTTATTTATATAGCAGCATCATTCAAAGTGATTTTCAGACATTTAAAGTTTGGATTGGAAACAAACTATTATTAGAGTAACTACTGTAATCTATACTATAGTGTTATTTTTTATTTATATCTCATCCCATCTTCTCATATTTATTTTCTTTTTTTATCATATATTCTATTTTATACAACTAATGCTCTTATTGCTGAGCTGACCCATTTTCACATCCAACACATTTCAATGTACCATTGACCCTTTGTTAACCTACATATATGACTAATAAACCATAACTGGACTGGACTAAACTGAACTGAACTGAATGAAGAATGATGATCAATCAGTTGATACATCATCATACGTATAGTCACCATACTTTAACAATCAATCAGCAGATAAAAAGAAACACCTGATGATGACAGCATCTTACCTTCATGGTCGTTATTCTTTTAGCCAGGTAGACGTCAGGGCTTTGAATGCACTGCACTGTCATGACACAGATATCAGGAAATGTCAGTGACTAATCAACATGAGCAGTGTGTACCGATCACTGTGTGCGCACTATCTCAAACAATATTTACCTAAGACTTTCAAACCCAGTCGAATGTCTCCTGAGAATTTCTTCTCCACAGCCTCACCCACCATCTGTCCGCTCTCCAGCTCCAGTCCCATCAGCACTGTCAGTAAAATTCAAGACCAGGGGAGCATGAGCATGTTTACATTTAAAACACTGAAGACTAACTCACAGAAACTCTTATGCAAGAAACATATAGAGGAGCCCCACCTTTGTTCAGATGGTCTGAGTCTCTAGAGGTCAGTATGTCAATCCATGGTCCTGCATCAGCTTTTTTCCCATTTAGTGATGCAGAAAGTGACTGGAAGAATGGAGGAATAAAAAACAAGAAAACACAGTCAGAAAGGGGGTAAATTTCACTTAGCTCTTGTTTACACCTGCTACATGCTCCATGTACGGGCTACAAGTGTATTATGCCAGCTTTCCTCTTCTGTGAGACAAATTTGTGTAGATAGACTTCCTTGGACACAGTCTAAGTTTAGGAACCACAAAATCACAGAAAGCAAAGTGCCAATGTGACACGAAAGCAGCGGTTTAAATAGGAAATTACTTCTTCTTTAGAAGTTTAAAAGCAGTATTCACACTTTTGCATGCAGTGCCACCAACAGTGAGTGATACCCTGGCAAACCTTAGCATCATATTGCAAACTTTAGATAAAAGATCTCCCCATACAGTAATGCAAGTAATGCCCCTTATTTTATCCCAAGTTTATCACAGTTATATTGAATATAAATAATATATGTGAGAGGGTCATGAATTAGTAATAAATCATTGGAAAAATGTTTTCTTGCTTGCTATAATATAAGTTCAAAGCTGTCTTTTCTTGTTAATACACATCAGTAATGTAGAACAATAGCTAGTATCCTAACTGCCATATTGGCGATTGCATATGTTTTGAATACAGAATTAAAACTACATACACACCTAGATCACAAAATTTATGCATGAAAAAGTTGTGGGAAATAATACCTCAATGTCTCTTTGAACCCCACCAGCAACATTTTCTTTCTGTTGGGGGTGAGAGTGAAAAATAAAATACTTAATTGCAATTTCAAGGTCATATCTACACAAAGCATGAACAAATGATTAATATTCTGTAGTGTTTTAGATAAAGCTGTCACTGTTATTTCATATCATAGGTAATATTATGTGTTAATATTAAGAATGGTGGGGGAACAATGTCCACTGTAGCTTTAGTGTAGCTTTGAGGCCAGTTGTTTTAATTATGTCATTAAAGCTGAGGCCAAAGGAAGCGAATACTCAAAATTACATTTAGCAAAGCCATGACAAGCTTAGCAAAGTCTCCACTGGTTTCTCCTTTCATCTCCTTCTCCAGGTCCTTCTTGTACACTGAAAAAGTGACAAAAAATAATAATAACAAAATAATAAGGCAAGTATCAGGACACGAGAGATTATGGATTTTAAATGTCCACAACAATCAATCACAAAGTTTGGGGAGAAGACAAGTAAAGCTCTGTGATTTACATTGTTTGTATGTGGCACTGATTTCTTGAAGCTGCTTTCCAGATCGTGTGCACAGGATCTCCATTAGTGTTTCCTCATCCGTGCCTATACCCTGCACACACACAAGCACACACATACTGTGTCCTGAGATATGACAGATAGACATCAGACAGAAAACCCATCCCAAGCCCACCCCCCACGCCCAAAAATATGTATACAAACAAACAGACGAACACCCACTCACCGACATGGCCTGCTGCAGGCGCTGAGCCTCATACTGCAGAGGCGGCATCAGCAGCTCCAGCAGCAGAACTTCCAGATCTCCAGACAGAGCTTTCTTCAAACCACCTGCCAGGTCCTGGGACAGCACAGAATAAGACGTTTTCTCATATTTCAGATATTGTCTCTGGTTGTCTCTGTACATAGATGCACATAGATGAAGGAGCATCAGACGAAAACCTTAAGTCTTATTTGGTGGGTTTAAAAGGAAAAATCAATCCTAAAATATACTTTACATGGCAATAAGATATGAAAAACAATATTTCTTTATGCTATTGTAAATCAGTTCTCACGGTGTTTTAACCTGTAGGTAACATAACATGCTCCAGCTGCTACTTGCTAACAGTTCGGTCAACAGCTAACTCTCACGGACTTAGCCTATGATCCTTACAACAGCAAACACATTGGTCACAATTTCTACACCAGTTCTCTTATAGCCTGTGGCACGAGCACAAATGGAATGTTTTTTTTTTTTTTAAACATCAGGTCTTTTATTATAATTTAAATATTTTACACCACCACCACGTGAATATTGTTCAAAAATTGAGCTTCGGCAGTAATGTACATCAACATTAATGCCAATGAAAATGACTTGATTTGAGAGAATAATGGAACAGCTGCTACGCCACTACTGCAGCCCTGTATTAAAATAAAACTCATTTCAGTGAAATGATATCTAAAACAAACTACCTGAAACCTGGCCTGTTAAAACTCAGTGGATAAGCACAACTGAACTTCCGTTTCTCTTCTGTGGACTTTGATGCTCTGATACATGTCCGTCCTACATGTCTGCCAGACACCGTCACCTTCTTGTGAGAATGAGAATACCTCAAGTATTAAAAACTTTAACAGTGTGTAGCTCAGCATCACATTAACTCAGGCTCTGCCTCAGCCTGACACACTGTTACATTATATAGGTGTATGCTGATAAACTCCCTCTCTACACAAAGGTGTGTTCAAACCCTTTAGTTGACATAAGCAAACACTTGGAAGTTTCAGATGAGCAAACAAACAGACAGACATTTTTGTTGTGTTGCATAACTTTGTCTATTTAAGAAATGTTAAAGTGGGAGGCTGCTGTGGCTTTGAAACAGTTCTTCTGAGTTTCATGTCTTAGCTTCTAAATGCTGGTTTAGATTCTTCTCCATTAAAAACAGCTGTTGTAAACATGTTCAATTGTTCAATTGTTTCTTTACCTTGTGTGTTATCTCTTCAAAGGTACTGGCAATCACTTGTCTCTGAGCGTTGCTGCGATTGGTTAGGATTCTCACCAGGGTCACCGCATCTGAGCCAGGGACACAATATTTGCATTTCAATTATGATGCAATATTCAGTATTTAACGATTGGGCGAGGAATGTTAAGAGGTGAGACTGTGTACACATTTATCCAACGTCACCAATCTTCTCCTCTGGCTTTCCAAACCAGCTTTGCTCTACTAGCAGAGGTAGGCTACCTTTCTTTTCCAACGCCGCCTGGATCTCCGTAGCATCTCTGTCAGGGTGGAAATTGGAGAATGGTCGCACTGTTCCAAGGGTACCCCAACACATCTCCTATATGATGAACAGGAAGAGACACAAAGACAAACCAATAAATAATGTAAAGGTAAACACAACTAAAATTCTGACAGATCCTGTCTGATTCTATCAGAAGTGTGATAAACGAGTGGCAGGAAACAAGTGGAATTCGTAACAAGAGAAGAAGAAACGACATCATAATAGACTGAGAGACATACCATGAATGCATCAACAAAGGACGAGCAAAGATACAAGTCAGTTTTCATCGTGCTTGAATTTAAAGAATGTTAAATATTCTCTAGTCCTACAGTGACTGGAGGTTAGAGATAGACATGGTTGGTGAAGTAATCGGAAAAGCGGGTTGAAAGCAAAAGGACTGAATCTCATCACCAGGAGGAGACACATTATCATTGCTGCTAATATTATTGATAACACCATTAAACCTATGGTATTAGCTATCATTATTTTCACCATAACAATCAACAGTATATACAGCTGCCCCACCCCCCTTTCTACTCTCAACCCAACCCACTCTGATCCTGGTTCTGTTGGAGCTTTCTTCCTGTTAAAAGGGAGATTTTCCTCCCCACTGCTGGGTTATGACAAAATTGCTGGGTTATACAAATAAAATTGAATTGAATTGAAAAATTAGGCAGAGCAGAACTGAGGTGAATTGATTGCATTAAATTCATAAAGGAAACATGACATCACACTGTAGCATTCCAACAGGTATGTAGTGACTTTTGTAGATAAGGTTAGAAGGTATGCAGATAATCAGAGTGCAAGACGCCTGTCTATGTTATCTACAAATGTGGAGTCGTAGTAAACAGAGAAATAATGCAATGACAGAGGGAGGACAGGGTGGGAAAAGTCTACTCACGTATGATTTGAAGTAATCAGGATCCATGGTTTTGTTTTACCTGCAACAAAGAATGTGAGAAGATAGAGATAAATGGTTCATAATATTTATCTCTATTAGCACACATGTACAGTAAAGGACATTAATGTACAGTAAATCCAATTTGGTGGTGTAAACAGTAGGAAAGGGAAAAAGGTGAACTGATTTTTTGTTCAGTGAATCATTTAATGAATTCATGAAACCAGCAGTTATCTTAAGAAAACAGTTAAATTTCTTTAAGTTATATTCCCTTATCTATAAGAGACAACAAGCCAAAACAGACACTTCACAGAATGACACAATAATACAAGATTTTCTTACATTTTTCTTTAAAAAAGGAATGCTTATTTTTCTTACCTGTAGCAGAAAGCTGTGGCAGCTGTAGAAAGGTGTGGAGGTAGTGGAGTTTTTCTTTTTTTTTCTTTTACAGCTTCCTATAATCAGCACTGTATCTCAGTCCCACCCTTACTACGCCACGCCTGTTCCCACTACACACACCTGACTGTCTGTTAGTCAAACTCCTGACCAATCACTGCCCAGTATCTTCACAGCCATTGGTCTGTGTCATCTCTACGACAGCCCACCTGTAAAATGCTGTCATTCCTTGCAAAGGAGGAATCCAGACAGTCAGGTTTGTTTACAGGTGACCTTTGCTGTGAAGTGACCACAAGTTGTAGATTTAGTGGCTGATTTGACCAAAAAATAATAATCAGTGAGGTTGCTGTTGTGTTGGGTCAGACAATTTATCCCCGTCATTGGAGAATGTTTAGTATTGAGATTCTCAAGTTACAGCTTTGTCTTTTCACAGCTTTTTTTTAGCCGGATGGGGCAGATATCCGATAAACAAACCCACCAGACAACATGCCAGTCATCTCTGTCAGTAGGTGAGGGCGGAGCTCGGGTTTTTTAGGGTAAAATAGCCCTCCCTCGAGGCTGGTGCGCTCATGCATAACCTGATGGTTTTTTGGCTCCAACAAGTTTCTGTCACAAGAGTTAACAAAAGGCCTTTTCAGCTCCTGCATTTGTGGCTGTACAGCAATAACAATCTGATACTCCTAAAACGCTCATCTGCCCTTTTTCTGAAAGACAGAGAAAGTACACACAGCACAAGACATCTGTTTAGAAAGTAATTTAAGATGGACAAAAAACACAGTGCTAACTGAGCATGACGAAACCACTGAACAAATATGTTCCTCTCATAGTTTTGATCTGTCCTCTGTGCTGCTCAGCTGCTACCTGCCATTCACCTGCAGAGCTCAGTGAAATATGAGACCTGTGTGGTTATTACAAACAAAGCTGATCTGCAGCTTTTAGCTTTTGGTCATATTAACTTAAGATTTGCCACTATATGCTCAACAAATACAATCTTTAACTAGAAAAAGAAATATTTTCTGAAGAAAATCTAGAGTACATGTGCTCGCTGACATGAAATACTGTCACAGTTATAAACACAAAACACAAATACTAAGAGTACCATGTCTTTCCTGACTTTCCTGTCTCTCTCTGACTGTCCTATAACAATAAAGGCAAAAATGCCCTAAAAAAAAGTTTTAAATGCAGGTACTGGATGAAGTTAAAAACGTGAAAGTGCTGTGGATGTCGTGAAAGCATCAGTTGAAGAATAAGAGATGAAGCTGTGAACCAGCACAGACTGCAATGACGGCAGAGAGAAAACACAAATAGGTACAATGGTTTGCCTGTTCTTCAGCTAAGAGAAGCACTGGATGATGGGAAAGCCTGCGGACGTAGCCCAGTGTGTGGTGACAAAGTAAAAAAGGAAGAATAAAAAGAGTGTGAACTGATAGCGAGAGAGGTAAAGTGCTTGAAATAAAAGTGTGAGTAGTGAGGCAGATGAATCTCTGTCAGTGTGATGGTGTCACCCATTCTAGGTGCTGAACATCCCAGTTCAACAATACACACTGATGTAAAAATCTGAGAAGGTCTGAAAAGATACTTGATAAAAAAAAAAGAAAACTTAAACTCTGATTACAGAAAAGAATATAAATAAGAGAGTAAGAGTGGTTGTTTTCCATCTTGCATGCTGTGTCTTTGTTAAATGGCTTGGTGTAGCCCATAAAGACAAACAAAACAGTCATGAAACTGAATGGGTGAGAGTATGAATGGATGAATGCAGTGAGGGGAGGTATGAATGAAACACAGCCCGAGTAAATATTTGAAATAAATGATGAAAATAGTCCATTTAAGCCAGAATATCATCAACAACTGATACTCAGACACATACACGTCCTTTTTCCAGCACTGAGAGGAAACATTGTGATGCTGTATTTGCACGAAGTTGGATTTTTGGGGGGTGGATTTTCGAAAGAGTGGAAACAAGATCTTTTTCCAATAATGATACAAAAATATTATTTAGACTATTTTGCAGTCAATCAATAAGCTTTGTTTTAATTTAACATCATTTATTTTTGTTTTCGATATCTTAACACCACTCCCTTTTACATCACAATAGACATTATATCTTTAGTATCAAATATTAAACATACAGCTGATGCAGGTAACAGATTCTGACAACAAAAATACAACAAGACAGAGTAACATAACAGACACTGTACACATACAACCCCTTTCATTGCACTGCAGCATGTAATGTAATAGACTGTTTACACAACTGCAACACTTCCCATAAAACAAACGGTGATACATATATATATATATATCATTTTTTCTAAAAAAAAGCATAATGCACATTTCTTGCATACTGCACATTCTTTCGGCTTCATTCTTCCACTGTCTATATAAAGCACTGGCAGCCATGTGATGTTCTCTCCAGGAAGCAATTAAAACTTGGTTTGCTCCATTGTAAACAAAGGTATAAAACTACAGCTGCTTCTACAGTCAGAGAATTTGCATGAGCCTGGAATCATTCAAACAAGGAAACTCGTGTCTGAATACCCAAATTGTTGACAAGGGGTCAGATAAAGGTCAAAGTCGTGGAGTAGGTCAAACCATCCCTTTGATCAGTGGATACAATGGAAGGGGTCTGTCCATGCTGGGCGTGTACTGTATACAGTAGCTCAGTACATCCTCAGAAATACATTGAATCTTGCTTGTGATCCAACTCCTGTGATGACACCAGCCGCTGTAGCAGGTAAAGGCACTTACAGTTCTCTTTGTTGGAGTCCTTGCAGACATAAAGTCTTTCACTGACTTGGAGAAAATGGAATCATTTGATTACAAGAGTACAGACGAACAGAAACACAAAAGTTTGCAAAGCACCAAACTGTCTGCTGCAGCTTTTTTCAGGCCTTGAATGTTTACAGTGATACGATCATGGAGTTCAGAGTAGAGAAAATATTACAGGCACTGAAATAAGTTACATCATAAGGCAGTGGCAGCAGTTCTCAGAGTGTTGAAGGGATATTATTACTAATTAGGAAAGCTGAGTAAAGAAGAAGATGAGATTTTTATAGCAACGTTATCTCCCACTGCTGGCTTGGCCTCTCGTCATTCTCCGGCATTATCACCACGTGCTCCTTGTCGTACGTTTTGCCACCTAAAGAAAAGGAAAATAATGTTGTTAAAAGAGTTACAGCCATCATGGCACAATTGCAGCAATCATCAACGAAGTAAAAGCAATATAAATATTCATAAAACCCAACATTATTTTAAGAAAATCTTAATAGAGTCTCAAGTTTAAGATATATCAGTTAACATGAATCAGGAGACTATATGTGGAGCAGCTACAAAGATTTTTCACAAGAGGAAACCTATGAAATACCAGCTCTTATTCTGAAAAGGCAACTTAATTAATCTCACAACTTTGCTTTCACATTAAGAATATCTAAGGAAGCCTGCGATAAAATTAATTTTTCCTCCCTCTTGTTCATACCTTTGACATCCAGGACCATGCCGGCGAAGGTAAGGCTCGTGATGAGGCCTCTCATCTTGGCTGTCCAGGTCTGGACAGGCTGCCGAGTCTCTGTCCACATAACCACCTTGGCTGCTGGCTCTACGTTGCCCATCACCTGAAGACTCATGGTTGGGGACAACTACAGAGGACACACACACACACAGACAGAGCATGATCAGACAAGCCCAGAGGACTTAGAAAAATCCAGTTCAGGTTTTTGGTGTTTTGCAAGATGATGATCAGATCATCACAAGCTGCATGGTGATGATGATGCATTACCTTGTTCTTGATGAGGCCGTCCTGATAGAACCAGATGTCGCTCATCGGCTCCACCTCTGCGGTCGCCACCACTCGCCCTGACTTCATCTCCTCCACACCGCCCTGCACGGACATGAAGTGGCCGCTCTCTTTGTTCTTGATGTGGAAGAACTGGCGCTTCTGCAGGAGGCAAAGTACCGACAATGTTGTTAAAGACAATGTAGTTGAAATGTAGTTTTTTTCTTTTTTTTTATAAATCTAAATCATTTCCACCCCTTTAAGGAGGCGGTGCTATGGAAACAAGTACAGTTATCATGTCAGTTTTGCTTAGAGATGTTAACTTAGTGCTGTAAAAGTGTGAAACTGATAACTCCTTCACTGTTTTACTGACAAATTCTCTTCTGATTAAGTTTATAAATTAGGTTTTTCTACTGATGAAAGGATGGATATGGCCTTTCGTTTTTGGTTATCCAGCCACCTACTCTGTCCAGGGGAGACTCAGGACCACCCTACCCATAGATACATCCTATCATGTAAATATATGAGAAAACTTAATATCTCCCAAAAAGGACAAGGAGAATTTACTCTACAGGTTTTCAGTGTCATCTACTGCTGTACTACTATAGACGGCATTTCACACTGTGGTGTTATAACCAAGTGTTATGGTTCAAATCAGGCCTTTTAGTTGTGTGCTGTAGTGGTAAAGAAGACTTCTTAACAAACCTGTCTGACTGGATACATTGAGCCAATAGTTTGTAGTGAGCTGAACTTTGGCCAGTTGGTGATTTCAATCGATTCCAGAAGGAACTGGCGCCCCCTGTAGTTGTTGTGTTCACATATCACCCAACTGCAAAGGAGGAGAAACAAAACTTAAAGACTGTGTTTTGTGGCTTGACTGTCACATGAAACAGGAAGGCGACCAAAACAAGCATTTTAGTGTTGTTTAACTTAGTTGGATCAGCTGACCACTGTCCATGTAGTTTGTTTTAACGACCTTACTGTCATAAAAACATGAAAAGTTGCCGCTCATAAGGAAAACAAGTTACTTTGTGACATGTGTGACAAGTGCAAATACACTTGTCCAAATGCAAACACACAAACAGCACGTTGCCAAACACTCTCCCCAAAACACACAGAGACAAAGAGCCGAACACGAACCAGCCGCTGTTGACTCTGACAGACAGGATGTGGTTGTTCAAACCCTCTTCGGCCATGTTGAGGATCTCATTCTCTGTGGTGATCTCTCGGCCCTCCAGACACTCGAGGCCAAACAGGGAGATGGAGGGAACTGAGAATGTCTAGACGGGAAAGGAGGGGGAGACGGAAGTTTAGAGCAAGACAAAGGAGAGAATACAAAGCGTTGTTCTGAAGTATATGGGAGCTTTCTCACCGTTGGTACGACCTTGACAGAACGGACAGTGTAGTTGGGGGGGCATCCCATGCTGGTTAAATTGGGGTAGTCCCCTTCAGATAGGACATACATGTTCCCAGAGTACTGCTGATTGTCGTAGACCACCCAGCTGAAACACAGAGAATTTGAATTATTATTATTATGTTTTTTATTCAATCACCTTTTCCCACATCCCTCTGTGTATTTCAGACTTGTTTTTCCCTTTATTCCCCGTCTCCCCGCTTAGGTTATGGTTTCTTACCTTCCTCCCACCACTCGGCAGGACTTGATGATGTATTTTTCTGACACTTCATCCTGGTTGCGGTCAAAGATGTGGCACTCGCCCTGAAAATCTGGCTCAGAGTAAAGTATTATCTGACAGAAAGAAGGGAAGAACAGTGAAGTGAGAGATCAGCACATTTAATGCCTTAGAGCTTTGATTCTTCCAGCTATTTTTATCTTTATTTTTTTATTGCAGCCTTGTAATCGCTGATTAGAGGGTTTTTATTTTCCTTTTTTTTTTACAATGCAGTGTGCTGTACTTACTAATTAATATTTCACATTCAAGATTAAAAAAAAAAGGAACAAGGGGAGAAAAAATAACACGTTAAATGTTGGCATGTCTTTGGTTAAGGCCCCTTTCGGGTGGAAACAATAAGTCCAGTTTCATGACGTGTTCTGTGCAAATGGGGTTTTCCCTTCATGAGGAAAGTGCAGAAGAATCAGCTCGAGCCAACAGTTTCAAGTTCAACATTTGGGCTTTGGATGATGTGTGTGTGTATCTGTGTTAGCAAACCCTGCCTTTTTTCTCTCTTTAATCTTGTCACATTTTCTCTGAACTCAGTAACAAGTCCAGCATGCCAAATATCTTATCTAAAAGTGAGATAAAACTGTGGATCAGATGTACCGTATATTAGATGGAAAGCATAATGGACAACTTGACTGAGGCGCATTAAACAACATGAAACTGGGAATGTAAAGACAATATATTCACCTCACTCCTGGACCTGGTGTTGTCACCTGGAGCCTAAAAACAAACACAAACAAGGATGTGAGTAACGTATAACGCTCATCGGATCTTGCTGATAGGATTGTGTCGTCCTCCTGTTCACAGTGGTCCTCACCAGCAGGATGGGCTGCACCGAGCAGATGCGAGTGTCCTGAGAGCCCCAGTCAGCACAGTTATTGTAAAACCCTTTCTCTAAGATGTACTGGTCCCCGGAGAAGTCCACATGAGAGTAGGCTATCCATCTGGAAGGAAAAACAGACAGTTAGCTGATTATTGTATTACAGTGCCACTTTAATCCCCGATGTTACAACAGTGGTGAATGGAGTGTACTTACGCCCCGCTGAGTACGTGGATGGAGCGCGTGGAGGTTTTGTACCCAAACAGCTCGACATCGGGAATGGCTTCGGTCACCTCGAATGTGTTCTCCTGCATTCCCTCTTGATCTTCTTCTAGCTGTTCAAACATCACCATCAACGGGTCTGTCAGGTCCTGCAGGAGCAAGAAGATGGGTGAGTTTACCCAAATTACACTAAAGCCCCCAGTAAATGAAAAATAAGGGGCAGTGTGGGAACATCTATCTTTTACCTCAACTTTAATGCAACTGGAGGGAGAAAATAAAATCCAAGCAATTCCAGCTGAAGTAAGATCATGTATTCTGATGAGAGTCATATTTTTGACAATGCCAAAATCATCTGTGTTTATGTGCCTCATTTTGTTTCAATGTTAACTTGCAAGTATGTTGAAAGGGGGGGGGGGTGCACTCACCAAAATACTACTTAAACCACATATGTACTGTATGGTGATTTTGCTATTCTATTCTATTCTATTCTCTATATTAAGACAGAATTTACACATTAATCAGATGCCTTCTTTAAGAATGTTTGAACTTTCTTCAAATAATTGATGTTGCAAGTCATTCCTGCCATTATTCATTCATTACTGCATTATGCAAAGTTTAAATGGTCCTGAGGTAATAAATCGGAATTAGAAATATGCTCTGATGTCCTGGGATCATTGTGATACCGTCCAGAAAGACATCTGCTGCTTGCCTCGATTAAACTTCTGGCACTCAGTATCAGAATTACAAAGGCCATTCATTCATCAGAGGGGAGAACAAAGTCACTTTTTAGATTAGATAAGACTTTAATGATGCACGTACCAGTGTGTTATACAACAAGGTTATTAAAGGTCCCATATTTTACACTTTTCTGGTGTTTTATTTGAAGTTTTGATATCCATAAGAAGATATATTTGTGGTTTTAAGAACCAAAAACCATCTCAGTGTAGTTTTACATCTCTCTCTGGAGCTTTAGTAACAACAGGTCAGTGAGGCAATCAGAAGAGAGGAGGCTCTGAGCGTCTCTTCTGATTGGCTGACTGCTTTCTGAGTGATTGAATAAAAATATAGCAGATATCCGGTAAACACTCAGAGAAACCAAATCCTGAAAGGTTGGATGGTGGGTGCAGGTGGGCTGGGCTTGGGGCTGCGTTGTTGTGACATCACAAAGTAACAGAAGTTATTTGTTTTAAGGTTCAGTTTCTGAAAATGAGCTATGTGTGTTTCTCTGTGGACTGAGCACTTTGATACTTTGATACAGTATTAATATAGAACTTCTTTTTAATCAAAGAAGACATGGAAATCTCACTTTATACAATATGAGAGGAGTCTAAAGGACAAACAAAAGTTTAATAATATAATGAATATAATTAATTTATGCATGAGCTCACAAAGTAAAATAAAACTTAAGCAACAAAGAGATTCAGCTTAGCATGCAACCAGGAAGTTTGCAGTTGTTGAGGTGGTGACTTCTTTGCTGGACTGAGGGTGACGTTACAGGGCATGTTGTTGGATTTTTGCCATCAGATTAGAGGTCTGACCAAAAATAACTGATATGCAGGAGCAAATTCAAATTAGCAACTTCCCATAGAACAGTGGCGTTGTTGTTTTAGTTAGTGTTTCAGGAGTGTTTCTTATTCAGCCTCCATTGACTCATCAAAACAATCTCTTATTCCTGTAGTTTGCTATTTAATAGAGGATTTAAAAAGATTAGATTTTTACTTATTAACACACAAACTTACTGCTCGTATCACCCTAACAGAGCGCAGCTCAGCGTCACGGCCGCCCCACACCCTCCAGTCGTGGTACTCTCCTTCCTCTAGCAAGTACTGGTGGCCTCGGAAACCCTCCTTCTCGTAGCCCACCCAGCTGCAGTCACAGAAGCAGGCAAAGGGTTAAAAAGCACTCATATCTGAGCTGGTTGTCATTAGCTTTCTGCCTCATGTATAAGCCCCTACCTAAATTGCGCATCAGTACTATTTAGGTTGTTTATTCATTTACTGGTGAATACAAACATTAGAAAGCAGCACTTACATTCCTCCCAGTACTTTAAGGGAACCAACACTGTACATAAAGACACTCTGCTGTCTGTCTGTCCTGGTCATGAAGTCTTTCATGTTAGCCGTTATAGTCCTTGATTTCCCAGAGAAGTACGGCTTGTCGTAGATCACCATCTGCAGACACAGAGTGGCAATCACAATCAGGACACACTGATAACCTTTTCAAGCGTCAAAGGTGTCATTCATATCACTGTCAGATAAGCCAGCTCAATAAAAGTGAAAACATATATAATAATAGTGTAACAACACTTTCTTACCTTCGGTTCACTCACGTTTTCCACTCTTGGTTCACCCTGTGGTAAAAAACAAACAAACAAATACATTTATACAATGTTAGCAATAAAGTGATGTTTTTTTTACATAGAACATAAGTGGAGAAGCTTGTCAATACTCATAAGCAACGCAGTGTGCTGTGCCACTTACTACTTTGAGCGGATGCAATGATCCCACATAGGCTTGTTCCACCCCCCACGCTGCAGGGTTGGAGTACCCCCCCACCTCCAGGACACGTGGTACTCCCTGGAAGAAGGGCTGTCCGTATACAAGCCAGCTGAGAGGTGAAAAAAAAGAGTTAATGTGTGAGTGAAAACGACTAAAGGTAGTTTTTCAAACCAGCTGAAATAAATTATTTAATGGCGGAAAAAGCCAGCATTTCCTCACAACGCATAACTCATAATTCATAACTCACAGCCCGGCGTTAATGATGATAGAGTTGGCCTTAACGGGGAAGCCAAAAATCCTGGCATCATCAGAAGTGTCTCTGAAGATGACCTTCTTCCCCTCAGCGTTTTCTTCTGGGAAAAGACTGATTTCTGGGACGCTGTAGTCCTGAGGGAGGACAGAGAGCATCCATTAATGTCATGTGGTGGAGGAGACAACAGGCTGTAATGCTGCAGTCCTGAAGGAACTGAGAAAACATGTCCTGCAGCTGCCTCTGAGGGAACTGTATACCCAGTTAACGCCACACATAATAATCAAAAATGTGAACAAAAATGATCCTGTCACCATCAAGATTTCTAAACAGATAATAAAACCTGCTACTACACTCCATAATGCACAGAATAGTTTTAGAAAACAACTAAATCTAATAAGTTATTATGTATTCTGATACTGTTAAAAGTTTGTCCTACGGCCCAAACAAGATTTTTGAGGCTGATACTGATATTTGTTGTATTGAGCTGAGAAGAAGATATGTTGATATATATATATATATATATATAATAGTTGGTTTGTTTTTCTTTTTGTCGTAAAATGATACAAGTAAACTAAAAAATAAGCATGATTATTTTTTTTAGGATCTCTGCGTTTTAAAGAATTGTGACCAAGATATGTATGTAAAAATATATTTTTCAGTATGCTGTAAAAAATACATTTGTACATAACGGTATCATCATTTCTAAACTATCTCAAGTGTGTCTACAACTTTAGTGTTTGATGTTTTCCTACTGACATATCTGCGATAAGCTAATGCTGGCCAGTATACTGCCCTGGCTGATGGTCTGATTACGTCAGTTGTAAAACAAAGTATTGAAATAAATCTGTTTATTCAATTTTGATAAAAAAAAAAATAAAAAAAAAAACGCACAAAAAAATGTTCTCATTTCAATTTCAGCCAAAGTTGAAGATCATATGAATGCAGCCTAATTGAAATGTATGAGCTCTTAGAGGTCTTGCATTATATATCAATTCTGCATTGCATTAATACATAAGAGCTGTCAAATGTCTTTGAAGTAGATGGAAAGGTATTGACCATTTCGGACAACTGGAACATTTAGTGTTTGGTAATTTGGGTATATTTGGGTATACATTTGCAAAAAAAAGGATGAACAGGTTGTCGTAGTTATTTGTGACACTAGATGGAGCTATTGAGTGCAGGAGCAGACAGTCATTGAAGGGCTACGATATACAGAACATCTATGAGAACTATTCAGCCAGGACATTACACTAGAGCCTAAAAATAAAAATTTCCACTGTATTTTATCATCACCCTCAGATCTTAGCTCACAGTGTGTGACAACAATTTAGGACAACACCCAAAAACAACAGAGTGAACTGAACTGGTCTTACCCTGACAGCTCTCCGTATAGATCCGATGATGAACCTCCTAGCTGGTTTGGTCTCTGTCTGCTCATCCTTTGTTTCTCCCTCCTCCTGTCCGTTCTGCAGCTGCTCCTCTGGAGGGTTGAAGGGGTAGGTGAGCTCGATGTCTCCCTCATCCAAGGCGATTTTCTCCCCTTTGAAGTTGGGTTTCTCATACAGCACCCATCTAGGGACGAGAGGAGGACAATGAGAGACACAGAGGTTACATTGCTCTGGGCATGTGTTTGAATGCAGAATTCATAGACCCTGTCAATGCAAATAATGAGAGGAGAGGAGAGGAAAGGAGAGGAGAGGAGAGGAGAGGAGAGGAGGTTAAAGAACACATGCAAAGATGCAGAAGACAGGGAGGAAACTTAGCCAAAGCAACATGCTTGTGCTGCTGAGGGGTGGAGGAAGTACTCACATCCTTTCCTCACGTAAAACTACTAATACAACAATTGAAAATGACACAGTAACAAGTAAAACTCCCGCATTTATAATGTCAAAGCTTATTAACATGAGCTAGTAACAAATTTGTATTCTTTTTTTGGACTTCCCTTTCATCTCTAAAATGGGAAATTTTTCCTTCATTGGGTGTCAAACAATTAACTTAAAGTCAAACTCAAACTGTCTCCATCTCAAAAAATTAAAAGTGAAATTACTAAACAATAAAACACACCACTGACCAGTTCAATGCACTCAAGGGCTTCGCAGCTGTAACCATACTTGTTCTTGTATGACCAAAAGTTTGCGGTTAGCTTATGTTGGCAAACTTAAGACACATATTGTTGTGTAACATCAGCTAGTTCAGACTTTGTGGCTCTTCTCCAGCTGTGTAACTGTTAGGATGATCCCATAACTGTCACTTGGCTGCGAGCAAAGTGGCCGCAAGATAGTACATCTAAGAGGTTTACAGGAGAAATCCCTCTTTGATGAAACTAACAACTCATGAACATCTGGAACATGACTGGGCCCAAACTAAATAATGCTTTTTTTGAATTATTTTTAAGGGTTCATGTGAAAAAAATGAATTATTTTGCTTTAATAATGCTTTCTATTTTATAAGTTGATCCATTGTTTTGTATGTAAAATGGTAACCTGTGAAGTAACTGAAGCTGTCAAATAAATGTAGAGGATTAAAAGTACAACATTTCATTCTGAACTGTGGCAGAGTAGAAAGTATTCATATGTAAAGTACAAGTACCTTCAAACCATTCTTAGTACTCGTTGTGCTGCTTGACTGAAGTAATCTCTTAATAAAAGAAAGTAGATCTTAGTTTAAATCAAGGATTAATGGGATACAAATGCCACTTGCATAACGCTTTAATTACAGCTGCGGTTTGGGCAGTGGTTCAATATGTGATGCATGAGCTGACATTATAATTAACTCATTGTAATATGTCAAGCCTGCTGTGTGTACAGGTCAGAGCAGTGCCATCAGCGTCTCTGCTGGTTCACAGTGTTGGCTGCGTTCGGTAAAACATTCCACATCTGAGAGCAAGAGTGTGTTTAAGCTTGCGAGTGGGTGTTTCAGCTATTGATGGCATTTGCATGTCAACACGGCATCAATAGCAGTTTTGTTTTCACGACATACGAGTATATCCGGAGAGAGGGAGAGAGAGAGAGAGAGAGCAAGAGCGAGAGCAAGAGAGAGAGAGGGGGGGGGTTTATTTGGAAAAAACACTGTTTAATTACACACCTCACATTTCTAGAAGGAAAAGGTGTGGAAATCTCATCTATCTCTATCTACCTTTGCAATTGCGTAGATTTTAGGAGGCTTCAGGTTTAATGTGGTGCCAAGTATGTGGGGGTGGCATGAGGAAAACAGACCTGTTTGTTTACTGCTATAAATGGTGACAGTTCTACATACTACCAGCTGAAAGTGACAAACAAACAAGTGACAAACAAATAGTTGTTGCAGATAGTTAGGCTGCAGTTTGTTGTGTTGCAATTTATGTTCAACATCCTCACATCTGTAATTGTGGACTAATTGTGGCTTGTGGTTGTGGATCATGTATGAAGCACGATTATCTAAATGTGCTGCTACACTTAAAACTGACTCCAGACAAGATGTGTGTATGCATATTACATACTAAGTCTAAGTAAGGTCTTAAGTATGCAGTGATTATACTCAAAACAGTCAGAAGCAAGACTATCTAACTTTCGAAAGAAGAAACAAGGCTTTCTCCTGCTTACACATGAAATGTTGAATTAGTGTGGACACAGCTACACTGTTTAAGGGAAGATTTGGAATAGCAAATGTGTTGTAAGCATGGACAGTGGGCTTGCAAGTCAAACACTCACCCTCCTCTGATGACCCTGATGGAGATGGTCTCCTGCAGCTCCCAGGGCGTAGCATCGATGACATCACTGCGCACCTCGATCCTCTGGCCGCACATCCCCGGGCGATCAAAAATGTACATCTAAAGAAAACACAGACAGATGTCAGCGTAGATCATTTACAACACAGGTGTGATAACACATTTTCCATTCCTTTAAGACCATCAGATCTAAACGTCTGCAAAGGGAAATGTTCATCTAATTAAATATGTTGATTAGAAAGTCACTCTTAATATAAGAAGTCAATTACTTGGGTGGTGAGAATGATACGATAGCAGGCAAGAGCTCAACCTGTGCTACTGAAAAACCCTTTATGGGAAATTAAAAAATGGATCGAATATCATCCAACAACAATATATCCAGGTTCATATTCAAGCATAACTCTTATATTTAATGCTTATCCCCTAAAGACAAGAACAGTACAAGGTAACAGGTAAGGTAGCAGAATTGCACAGTAGCATTCGTACCTGAATATCGTCAATTTTGCACAAATACAATAAAATATATATATATACCAGCATATCTTTATTTACTATTCCATTGTTACTTAGGGTTCAATCTGAGTACACTATCTTATTTAAGAAACCTGTTCACATCTACAGCACAGATTTGTTTCATCTATTCTGGTTTGAGGCCCTGCAGCATGGAATATTACCCAATAGCTAAACCTAAATGTCAGCTCCACCTCCAGTGCTCCAAATCCTTCGTGGACGACCTCAGTGAGAAAATGAAGAGCTCTGCTGCTGCATGCAGGAGCAGGCCTGACATTTAATTGTTGTTAATATATGTGTCCAACTTGGAACAGACACACGTGGCAGGTATGCTGTTTTATTGCCATCAATCACAGCCTGAAATTTTAATGAAAATGTCTTGTGACGTCTTTGGTTATCTGGTGGGAAACAAAGGGTTTAACCAGACAAGTCTCCTACTTCTACTGAAAAATGGTTATGAAACCACAGTTATGTAAGAGGCCACGTGCTAACCCGAAGAAAAGCTCAGTAAAGTGAAAGCTTCGTATCAATGTCTTTTTCCCCCTTAAGTAAACGTATTCTGTGCATGGATGGGTAAGAGCATGTCGGATTACACTGAGATTCACAACAAAACTCTGGTAACATCTTTGCAGGTTGCTAGTATAAACTACTTTACAACTACATTTATGATATACTGCTGCTGTTTGTGTAAAAGATAATGACTAAAAAGTGCCACTCGTATTCTTTAGTATATTGTTTTGCAGTCACACAAGTGGGTCTTTGAGGCTGTATTTAGACACATCGGTACTTTGAGCTGAATGCTAACGTCAGACTCTTAAAGGTCCCATGTTTTACACTTTCCCAGTGTTTAAGTCTTGATATCCATGAAAAGATATATCTGTGGTTTTAAGCAACAAAACCATCCAGATGTAGTTGTACATCTCCTCTCTCAGGCTTCTCTCTGGACCAATCAGAAGAGAGGCTCTGAGCATGTCTCTGTGGACTGAGCACTTTGATACTTTCACAGTATTAATATAGAACCTAGACCTGCTTTGTAATCAAAAAATACATTTGTACTTTTACAATATGGGACCTTTAAATGAATGTGTGCTGCCTGTGGCACGAGAAAATAAAGTGACTGTTTATCTAGCCTGTGTTGCAGCAAATTCCACAGTAACACAGCCTTCACAGTGATTATATTACTGTCAGCTGTCAGCTTTGAATGTAAACTTGCACATATATCTCAGCAGCATGTGGTTGAAGATTACTTGTACTCAAGGGTGTGTTTTGTTGTCAAGACTCACCTTTCCGGGACGAGGATTGAGCTTCCCATGCTCCTTCTCTTTAGTCAGCTATGGATAAAGAGAAAATGTATTTTAGTAAACTAAAATATATGGTATTTGGCAACACATTTTATTTCTTTTCATCCAGAAGCAATTCATTAATACGATAAAAGGTCAAGATAAAAGCCAAGACAAAGCACAAGGTTGTATACAAATTTATATATGACCAATATTAAAGGAATAGTCATTAACATTATCTACACATGTGAAAATGAGGAATGTAGTTCACCAATACAAGTTTTAAGGTTAGATCCAACCCTGATATCTCTATTCCGTTTAACTGAGAACGTGCATACAATAGAATCATGTGTAAGAATGTAATTACGCAACAACCCCAGCAATCATTTAGATTACACCCAGTCTCTACCCGGTGAATTTACACATGCCACACGATCCAATGTTAATGTCACCCTGTCCAACAGGTTGTGGGGGCGTCAGGGAGGAGAAGTGAGGAGAGAGGACTTCCTTCATGACAGAACAAGTGCCTCTTTCACAGGTGGGAATACATTCCTCCCTTGTATCTTTTTAACCTGATGCTTCCTAATACAACAGTATGAGCTCACCTGAGGTCAGTTCTACAATTATTCTAGAAAACCGTCCAGTGGAACCAGTAGCTAATGAATGAACTCACTGTTTCACTTCTTGAATACAATATGCATTTCCTGCTGTGAAAATCGCGGTTTGGATATTGATGTATTTTGGGTATGTTTACCTGTTGGACTTGGAATGTGCTGGCAGGTTAGCACTGTGCAATTTGCATATACATTTACTAGAGAGATTGGTGTGTGTGTGTGTGTGTGTGTGTGTGTGTGTGTGTGTGTGTGTGTGTTTGGTCTCAGGTATCACTTGGCCTCTCTTAGTCTCTGGGAGCTCTGTAGGAAACAGGTTATCATCTGGATCATGTTACCCACCAAAGAGGGCCTGCTACTCAAGCTATTATTTCAGCAGGTCTCTCTGCTCTAATTGAATTTGGAAAAGGTTTTGAAATAGATCCATAAAAAATAGCCAATCTCAGCTGAATTTAGTCAACCTTACAGGCTGAAATAGCAGCTGTACTTTTTTTAAACTGCAACATAACACCTTTTTACATTTTCAGCGAAAGTGAGCCAAGGAGCTGAGAGGCCCTTTGGTGCCTTTTCAACACTGACCTAGTAAATAAAAGAGTGACTCATTACTGTTCGCAGACATTCAACAAAAACAGCTTCCCACCACAGAGCAAGTACAAAAGCTCGACCTTCCTTCCTTCTGCCAAGTTCCTGCATTTCTCTTTTTTTTGCACTCTGAGTGCTGAAGCTTTGACATTGTGTAGATGTAAAGTTCTTTTTTCACATAAGAAACATTAGCTTTACTTGTATGACAGAAACAAATCAGTTTTACCAGCAGAGCACATTCTCATTTATGCAACCAATTCCTAAAATAGTAAAGGTTGTTTATCCCACAGGCACTTGGTCAAATAGTCTTTTTTCCCCTTTGTTATGGTCTTTTCATAATTTTTGTCTATTGTATTTTATGAGTAACTGGAGTATTTGTGTGTTTCTTTTTGTGTATGCGTGTTTTAATGAACTGCCAAATTTGCTCAAGACAATTTTGCACATTGGTTAACATTTTGTGTTGGTAGTTCAGCTTTAACCTGCAGCATATTACTGTAAACCTGACAACACTCACTATGTCTGAACTACTAATGGTCCCCATGTAGTAAAATCACATATCTTTATGTCCTAATGCAACCATATGTGGAACTGTTTCTACAAAACAGTGTTGTCACAGGACATGCTGCCATATTGCATAATCAACAAAGTCAACATGTCATAGCAATGTGTGTTATGTACTGTATGTAGATGCTTTATGGCAGAAAGCCCTGATCCAAACTGAGTGACAACTGCTTAAGCAATACAGGAGTATTGTTTGACACGGCATTGTAAACTGTCTGACAGCAACACCCGAGTTGGGCTCACAGGTGATCTAAAGTACACTGCTGGCTCTTAGAAGCTGTAAAATATGCAAGAATAAGACAGTGCCTTGAAATCATGGTTATAGCTGCAAAGGGCCTGACATTAAATGCAAAGAAGAAATCAAAGTGTTATGCAAGATGATTAAAGTAATGAAAATTATTGAGCATAAAATTAATAATGTGTATCCAATTCCAAACATTAAAATTATTTTTTCAAACTGTTGCTAGAAAACCACGTCTTTAGATCACCTAAGGACCACTGAACACCACAACTGAATTAATATAATGTATATAAATTAAACTCAACACCTTCATTGGTTGTCCACTAACCAAGTATATTCACAAATTAATCCAGCCTCTTCATGAATACAATCAGATACAAAAGTACTGTTGTTGTAGGGCACTTGATTTTAGCTAATATTAAAATTTAATCGTGACACTCAAAACATCTTGTTACATTTAGCCTGCTGGTAACAGCTGCTCTAGTTAAAGTGGAATGTGGTTTCTTGCTGGGAGTGGGTGGTGGTGATTGTCGCTTGACCAGAGCTTCAGTCATCGTAGTCTTTTGAATTCAAGATGTTATAATATGCCCTCTGAGCAGCGCTATGTTTTTAGGGCAGATTGGAGGCTCCAGTGAGTCACTATCAGACAATGACGATACGGGCCGGGGCTAGCTGGTTAGCGTGCTAACTTCAGCAGAAGGAAAGACACCACAGAAACAAGAGTTAGCATTGGTGTTACTGCTTGTGGGATGATGTTTCATGCTGCATTACAACGCTTCTTCTAGACTGGTACATAAACAGCTGTTAATGCTGACGGCTAGCCATGTAGCAATAGCAAAACTAGCTATAAAAGTAGCTAATTTCTGACAATGTTTTAATATCTGATGATGCCTAACTTTCACAGCTCTCTGCACCACAGCTGTTTGAGCAAAAGTTAATGCTAGTGAAATCATTGGTGCTTGGCTTAAACTTTCACTTTCTAGAACCTGTTGAGACACTTGCATTTCTAGCAATTTGAAACAGACTCTTTCAAAATGTTATTTTTATGTTTAAAAAAGTAGTCGGTGTCTGTTTGGGGCATAGGCTAAATATTTCTTTTTTTAACTTCCTTAACTTCTCCTTGCCTTTACTAGAAAACAAGGTCAAACAACTGCATCATTCATGAGCAGTGATGTGTTTACAGCTGCCTTGATGCCTTATTGAAACTTGCGTTTCCTCCCCTCCTGGCAGCCAGAGCTGCCTTCCCATAAAAGTAGGTACAGCAGATGGAATGTGCAGTTTCAGCAAATCGCATAATCAGAATATGCATGAACATGTGCTACAGGATGCTGATGGACAAAACAAATGAAAACTCATAGAAGGGAACAGATAATCATTTTGTCACATGCTTATTTCTCTCTGTCAACTCTTCTTCATCACATATCAAGCAAACAGAAATATGAGGATAAACACAAAAGGTGAGGTGTGGCTGTGTGTCTGCAGGAACAGACAGATAACTAGGATGGGTGCGGAGCCCAGTCAAGACTTAAGAAAAAAAAAAAAAAGAGAGAGGAGCATATAGTGTTCTGCCAAGATTAAATGATCGAGAGGCCTCACACCCACCTGCTGACAAAAGTGTCACTGATGGTTTAACTGCATGAGGGAGTTTGCAGGATGTAATCCTATTAACACTTGGACAAACAGAGGCACACATCAGTCTGCATCGTGTTCAAAACTTCCTGAATGTCATGTGTTTTTGTTCAAGTGTCTCTGTGTAGTTGTTCGTTTTTACAGACAATGCCTAATCCATCAGTTTTCTTTTGTTTTTTTCAGCTGACTGACGTGAAGCAGGATAAATATGTAAAATATGTCACTGTTGACACCCACATCATAACAGCACACTAGCACGCTACTTTTACTGAGCCAGTTCATTGCATCCTTTGGTCCTTTGGCACAAGTTTATACAAATATATATGTAATTGTATAAATAAAATCTATAGACGGCATAGTTTAAACTAAATTTTTTTAAACTGTTGCATATGTGAAAGTTTCTATAGAATGTAAAAGTCTATATTATAGCACAATTTGAGCATCAAAACTACAAGCTAGAAATGAATGTGCCTTTTTTGCTTCACTCAAATTGATCTCACATTCAGTTCAAACAAACTAGTGTGCAGGTAATCAGCTGTCTAGGCAGAAAGCAACTCTATATATTTGTAACACAAGTGTGGTCACATTACCTGTCTCTCTACAGTTTTAAACTCCCCCTGTCTGAATAACATCTACTGCAGTGACCCCCCCTCCCCCCGCAGATCTCTAGAATCGATTGAATGTGAATGATTGTCCTGTGCAAACATTTGGATAAAACCTACACAAAGCAGCTGAAGACTAATGACTAGCTACACTTACAGTATGCATCTGTCACTCCTTTTGTATTTGCATAGACATACAGTAGATAACTCCATTAACATGTCCTATGCATGGAGAAAAATGATCATCAAAATGAAATACTGCACTGCTGAGAACACCGGGAGACTGCAGGGATCTGGTTTTATTGCTTGTCACACCAACACCCCAACTTTCCCTCAGGGGTCACTTCTGTGCTTTCCAACTCTTGGCATATATAACTGAAACATCTAATGCTTAATTATAATGGTTTGAGTGTAAAATTGCTTAAAAGATTTTATGGTTTCTTAACAGAGGTGTGAAACAGGAAGAACAACTGAAAGCAGTGGTGTCATCAGAATTAGGTTCGGTTTGTTGACTAACAGACAAGAGACAGTGTGAGAGAGAGACAGAGGGCATGTGTCCTGCAGTGCGTGCACATGTGAGTAGGTGTTCTCATCCTTACCAATAAAAATAATTTTAAGACATGTCCTAAGCAGTTAAGACCTCCGCATGAACACACAAATGCTCGCATGGAAGAACAAGTGCATACATGCACATAAGTCTGGATACACACCCTTTTCTATGTGACTTTGTGATGCTAAGTAGGAATAACATGTACCTGACAGGTAACGATTACGAGTTGAGATCCCACTGACTACCATTTTATTTTTTGCTAACCTATGATTACTGCAGTACCAGTTTGAGAGCAGTGGTGCACTGGTTGTTACTGGAACCATAAGCCACCACTTCCAACTTTTAACATCTGATGTTGCTCTATTAATACTTGTATTAAGAAGCTCATAAATGGTAAATGTTACAGTATGTGAGGGTATGCAGTCACCAACAAAACCCAAAGACAAACAGGGCCATTTCCTGTGTGCACAACAAACCACATATGAAGTCATCTCTCACCTATTGTAAACTGATCTGTTGTTTGTCTGTTTTACAACAGTGAGGGGAATGGATCTCAGAGTGAGGCTAAGAGCTGCCTACACAATAAATAAATATAAATACTGTAGAAAGGCTAATATGGATTAATATAGATGTAGCTACCATTTCAACTCTCACTCATCATTCCACTGGCTGCAAACTATGCATACTGCATGCAACCAAACCTGGAAAGTTAAACAAAATGTGAAATAAAAAGAAAACTGCTTCTTTAAAATTGCATTCTCACACTTACCTTTGCCTTGGACTGCAGGGAACTGCATTATTCATACACAGTGTGCTGAGTTTTCCCTGACCTGAGGCCTGCTCCTACATAAATTAGTTCTACAACCTATTTACCAAAAGGTGTAAATGCAAGAGTCCTTTGACATCTTTTAACATCCTCATTCTCCTCAGCAATGTTATGCTTTTGTAGATCATGTAGACAATATAGTAATACTAATAATAGACAATACTAGTAATACTCACATAAGCATCAGGGAAGGCTCTGTATTTCGACATTAAATTCCTATCAGGCTCAGGTTCTTTGCTCTGGAACTGAGACCCTCCATGCACGCTGTTGAACAATGAAGTCTGCTGGACCCCCATGGTGCCCTCACCACTGAAGCTCCTCTGCAGGATGGGAGTGCCCAGTGTCCCAGTACCTACACCCATCCCCATCCCCATCCCCTGTGTCTGGCTAAACAAAGATAAGGGGGAGTCTGGGGTGGTGAAAGGCCTGTGAAGGTCTATGGAGCCTGTGGGGCTGAGGAGGCGTGTGGGGCTGTTGCTGGAGGGTGGTGAACTGATGCCAAGTGGTGGAGGCCGACTTATACGAGCGTTGGGGTCTTCAGCTCCGGTCATGGAGCCTGACGCAGAGGATGTGGAATTCAAAAGGAAGGAGAAACGCTCAAAGCGAGAACCCACTGGTTCTTTCCCGGGGCTGTGTTCACTGACCTCTTTTAGTCCAGTGCTCATGCGATCACCTGTTAGCCCCGTTTCTGGCAGCGAGCCACTGCGGTAGAGCGGGCGCGGGGACTTTCCATTTTCCACTGTCTGATCCATGGATGATGACCTGTAGCCTCCAAAGATGACACTGTTGTCCAGGCGAGAGCCTGTGTTGGAAGACGGCAATAGTCCGTTTCCATTAAGCAGTGGGGATTTTAAGTCGTCGGGGGAGGAGTCTGAGGATTTTCTAATTACAATACTGTTGGTAGCAGATGCTCTCATGGGCAAGTTCAGGCCCCTTGCACCAGACTGTGGCTGCTGATCCTGCAGGTGATTGAACATAATGCATTAAGTACAGCAATGAGTTAAAATGTTGGTTCACCCACGTTACTAAAAAAAACTATGTTATCATGTACCTCTACAAGATACTCAAAAATACTCTGCTATGATTTATGTTGTTTGTTAGCTTGTAACTGGTAGTGGCTGACACAGTGTTTAGTGGTTGTTCTAATGCAAACTCTGGCCCTTTTGTACTGATAAGGTTTCGTTTTCCTTTTGCTCCTCCTAAGCAAGTTGAAGGCGATTGGTTCCTTAGATTTTTGATGTATAAAACCTGTCTGAATTTGTTTTTTGCAGCTCCTTGATTTTCATTGAAGGAGGTCTTTAAAAAATGTTTCATCATCATCTCTTTTCTGCATCAGCAGCCAAGTTTCCACAGAGGAATATGTAGAACATATACCTTTTTGTAATCTGGGTGAACCTTTAAAGACAAGTCAAACATATAACTCCTATATTAGACAATAATACCATAACAATATAATATAAAGTAAAATAAAGTATATAAAGTAAAGTAGTATCATTGTTTCCTGAGGGTACACCTCAAAATGTGAGAATGAGATTTCACTGTTGTTTTGTGAAAACCACAAACTCAAGTTATGGACATAAGGTTTCCAAAGACAATTTACTTAATTTAGGTATCAGTGTACTATACCTGCTGGCTCTGCTTCATCAATTCCAGGGGTGAACGAGTGTCTCTGGGGGAGCTCCTCTTCAGTCCCAGGTCAGCAGGTAGTAGGCTTACTCCATTGAAGGACTCGGCAGGGGTGCCTATTGTTTCCATCTTCTTTGTGGGACTGGTGAGGTAGGCAGGGGTATGAGAGGTAACGGGGCTGGGAGCATCCTCGACGATGGGAGGCAGAGAGGAGACAAGGACCTGGGGCGGTGCACGTAGGCCCATGCTCCTGGGCCTCAGGGAAGGTCCCATGCTCTTCAGGGTATCCACAAGGCTATCCATGTCGAACTGGTTGGGGGAGTCTATGTCTGGGGAGGCAGGGGGAGTGGAGTGAGGAGCTCCAGGGTCCAGCTCCACAAGCGTGGCCTTGAACAATCCAGTAAATCGAGATGAATCGTCGTTGTTTTCTTCTAGGAAACTGTCGGTGCAGCTGGTTTGAAGTGCCGAGGAGAAGCCGGACACAGAGAGTTGTTGTGACTCCCAGCTTGACTTTATCCTCTCTGACTCTGCCTCTCCCTCCCTCTGTCCCTCTCTTTCACCTGCAGGTGCAGCAGGCTCCTCCTGCTCCACCAAGCTCCTCCTCCACTCATATTTTGGTTTTGCCTCTGGCTCGCTCTCATGGCTCGCATAAACTGTGGTCCTGTCACTAAGCCTGCTGCCAAGGGTAAAGTGTTCTTCTGGAGTGGGGGAGGAGAATGAGGAGGAAAACGTGTTGCTGTGGGGTTTGTATGTTGTAGCCTTGGAGGACGGGAGAGAGGTACTGGAGTAGGTGTCAGACATTCTGTGACTCAGAGAGTCAGAAAAAGAGGAATCCTCTGGTTGGTGTGGTGTATACTGGGAAACCCCCTCAAATCTATTTCTCCACCTGTAGTCTGAGCTGAGATCTGTTCCATTTGACTCAGTCTCCCTCGAGATTGTTTTAGTGAAATCCACTGTATCCTGGCTGAGACCATCATCGTATGTGATCAGAGATACTTTATGGAATCGATTTTTGGAGTCATCCTCTCGAGGAGGAGACAAGTTCTTTATGGTCAGTTTGGTGCTCAGGCTGCTGTAGCCTGAATTCATTTTGTCAACCGATCCCTGGTCGGCTTTTGTCTCCTGACTTTCTGAATCAGAGACTTCTGAAGCTGCAGCGTTGGTGCTTGAAAGTGTCAGAGACCTGAACAATTAGAGAAAAAGAAAAAGAGACAAAAAGTCTGTTAAAAAACAGACAAGACAAAGCAAGAGTCTGATTTAATAATGGCAACTGTTCCACAATGCACAAAGTGCTGCAGTGTCTCCAGGGTGTGATGGTCACATAATGCCAACAATGCAAATTACACAGAGCCACTTTGAATATTACCACTTGCATGCAATGCCAAGTATAGTTTACAAAGGCCTCATAATTAAGTTTATCTACCTTTCTGACGTATGATGGTTGAAAGAATAAGAAATTTCTAGTAGAAAATGGAGAATCAGCTGGATTCATTCTACAGACAAACACATAAAACCAACAAGTCTCTACTGGAAGGATCAAGTGCAACATAAACAAAACGCTGTCAGCTGACAACTGAAGTTACTCAAAGTCAACACACAGTCACAATTGGAAGTAAGTTCTTCTTTGTTGCGCATCCTACAATAAAGAATCAAAATTTTTATCAAATAGCTCCACAAAATCCAGAAATGTTCTGGTGGAGACGATCACACATTGCAGCGGTTGTTTGATATTGACGTTTTTACAGCTCTTCAATGACTAGAAAAGAAAGCAAAGACTGAATTTATGAATTGTGTTCTACACATGAAAGTCTGCACATCTGATTATGTAAGTAAAGTGGATTCGTTTTTAATTATTGTTTGAAAACAGAAACCCTGCATTCAGGATCTGGTTTACATTAATTTGAGGTGTCTAAAACAAAAATAAAAACTTCTTCCTCATCATCAGTATTGTTTGATGAACCAGTAATAGCTATTAAACTGAATGCCAGGAAATTTCAAGCATTAAATCTGACTTTATCCTCCCTCAGTGAATCATTTGACCTTTAATAGATCTTTGGATCTCTTCACTCTCAAGGAGGAGTTACATACATTTCTTTGACTTAAAGGGCAAAAGGTTTTGTGTTGTTCTCATAGACTTTGTGACTACCAGTACATGGTGGAAAAGTTTTGAGACAAGACAATAGAATGTACATCGTGACTCACTGTCAACAACCCTGACATTACACTTCAGAACTATTTGGCACAGAAGATGCTATTACTCTTTACAGTTTCAAGGTGACACACACACGTGAACGTACAGGCCAAGGGGAGGATTATTCAAAGGTCATTAATAATTGCCTCAGTGTATAATTGAATAAAAGGTCAGAGAGTGCTGAATTTGTGGATAAAATACTGATGCCACAGGTACAAAGTGTCCCTTCAAGGGTTTTACACAATGGATCCTAATATCCCTGCAGCGAATAACAAAGCCTGCAAACATGTAGCTTACCATCACAAGTTGGAATATCAGTTAATTAATAAAACTTGACATGCCTCACTACCTGTGTGGTATTTTTTTTTCTTGTCAGATAGTCATTTGCACCCACAGAACAGAAATGAGGACAATGTAATTAAAATGTTTTTTTTAGGGAAAAATTATTAGATTTAGAAATGTATATTTGTTCACACATAAAAAAAAATAAAAAAAAGGTGAAATACCGACAAGAAGAAAAAACATGTTCTCAGTTGCAGTGAATAGCAATGCAAAACGTCATTAAGTGAATGGGTGCAAACAATTTGAGTATCAGTGTCCCTGACCAGACTCTCCACACACTGACCACACAGGATTAGTCACTCTCAAACTGTTGCTCCTGTAGATCCGGCCAAAAGCTCATGAATAGAGACATTAAGATGAACATGGCGGTTCATTGTCTCTCGCTGCAACAGGATACTATATAGTAGCTAAACCACAAACCAGAGTTTGATTCAGTCTTTAATGTGGCGTTTTATTGTATTTATTCTACAATACAGCCTACCCCCCCTTGCTGAAATCTCATCTCATACAAATCTGGATCTCACAATGGCAGACATCATCTTTTTTTTTCCCTCTAAGCCGTTTGCACGTTTTTTTTTTTTCCCAACCAAAAGAGCTCCTGGGACATGGTGAGTACACTGCTGGTCTAATCACAAAACCACACCTTCACCTGAGGGCACCCACAAAATTCTGGCAGTGATCCCAAACCTCCTCCTGAGAGTTGGCTGAAATATTTAAATTATGTCACGTTTGACACAGAAAAAAGACCAGGAGACAGGTACGGGCAGATTGACAACCCACACACACCAGCACATGTACATGTTCCAGGCATAGGCACTCCTGTGAAACAAGATCCACGCACACATATGTGCTTGGACATACAGCTTCAACTGGGACATGCAGTCCTTATGTACCTGAACACAGAGTGACTTTCAGTTTAGGGGAATGTTAAAGCGTCACATGAAAGGAAGACGTCCCATACAATTATGTTTATTCATGAAATTATTTGTATCTGCCTCCATGTCATTTCTTAGTAAATGGTCAACCCATTTTAACAGCAAATACTAATCTTTCTGTACTGATTAACATCTTTAAAAATACTCTGCTGTTAATAATAGGTGTGAAGAATGTGTTGGAATTTGGTCACCACATAGTGGACCAAGCCTCACATGCAAAGCAATAGTGAAAAGCATTCCTTTTAAAAAGGCATCGTGGTCTCTGGAGAATGACAACCATGTGTGTGCTGGATGTTTAGGATATTTTACTCTTTCCTAAAAAAAAACAACAAAAAAAAAAATTCTACGGTAACATTGCTGGAAATTCAAAACACAATGCTTTTAACTTTTAACATAAGACACACAAACTTCACAGACTAGAAACAGTGCATCCAGGGCGGAGCCTTTTCGTAATATTGATTTTGAGTGTTTGCTTAGAGCTCTGTGCAAACAGATGGAGCTCACATGAGAAGCCACCGGGCAAAACGTGATTTCAGGACAAAAGAAGAAGAAACTTTTCACATCGGGTTAACTTTCCATTGAAATATATGATTTGTAGAAAACTACGAGTCGAGAAAAGAGTGCATGTGTATCCCATTAGCATGTTCTACTTGTTTAGCCTGCCTTCTCTCTACACATCTGCAGGGGGATTAAAGGATGGTTTAGTGAGTTTACAGTAGTGTTACTGCTGAGCACTTCTGCAAAGAGCTGCCATCTGTCTCGCTGTCAAACACCAGAAAGCCCTGAAGCTTTACCAAGCTCAACTTACACATCATCAATCACTTTGTTAAAGGTAACAGCAATCAACAAAACATCACAACTATTCAGTTGCTGACTGGCAATTATGCACAAGTCCAGTGCCCTGTGTTTAACTTCATTTTTGAGACTACCAGTAAAACATTGTCCTCATACCATCAATATGTATCTACTCATGAGAGATAAAATAATGATACAGTAGGATTTCTCCTATTGAATTCAGCAATTCTTGAAGATTAAAATATTCCCTTGCTGCTCATATTAGTCTAATTCAGACTGACTATTTGAAATAGAGTTACAGTGTAAATTATGGGTTTGTAGCAGTTGTCAATGAGGTCAGGGACTTGGAGCAAGTGATTTGTTTTTTAGTCTATTTTGGTTATATATTATTCATCCAGTGAGAATTTGGGTCGTCAGTTCACCTAAATTGTGGTCAAACGTCAAGACTCCAACAACAGCCCTAAAATGACTCTGGTGTGAGACACAGAAAGACTGGAGTACGTCCGTCTGATTAGTGACAAAGTGATAAATGATGTAAAAAAAACAAACAAACAGCCACCTCAGAAGACTCTAGGCCTACGACCTTGGTTTGTCAACAGTAGGTGTTAAGAGGTAGGATTTCCTGAAGATGACTTGAGTCAGGTTAAGGTGTGGTCTAAACTTCCTTCAGATGCTTTGCAGATAAAAGGTCATTTACAACAGTGGGGAATTCTAGAGAAGTTTGTCATTCCACTTGTGTCTCCTGTAATCTATCAGCCAACAGCCAGTCAGTCACACTTGGAAGGAAAACAAAGGACAAAGCACAAGTTCTGTCTAAAGACCTGCAGGTGGCTCAACTGGCTTCAGTTGTAATCCTACCAGACATATCTCTATACACTTTCAGATGTTTTTTCAAGTTAAGAGACTTACAACACCAAGCATTAATGATGTCGCAGATATTGCAACCATTTTTACAGTGAAAAAAAAAGAAAAAGAAGGTGATTCTAATGGCATCTTTTGGGAACCTTGGTTTAAATGCATGTCTTACTCCTCCTGACTCCTGAAGCCTGTCTGCCTTACTTATCTTTCAGTAAACATTGGCGTGCCTGTTCACCAGAATCAATGTTGGTGTTGGAGGCCACAACTTGATTCTTGGCAGGTTATGGAAAAAAAACATAGCTTGAGCTATAAATGATAGGCATTTCAAACACACACACACACACACACACACACACACACACACACACACACACACACACACACACAAACACACACACAAACACACACACAAACACACACACACACACACACACTGTTGGAAAAACAACTCCTTCTTTACTGCCAATCAGTCTGACACTGTTTGGCAAGATGTAACCAGAACATTCCAGTTCACCACTTTGACTCAACATGTACACAGTTGCACAAAATTTATCTTAACCAAAGGCGACAACTGTTCCTCATATAAAAACCTTGTTTTTATAGGCCATGTTTCATAAAAGTAACTATACCTGGTTCTTCATTCTGATTCATATGTGTTTTGAGGGTTGTTTGAGTTATTC